ACAATAACAGCGGTCCGTAGAAAAACACCGGAACAAATAATTCCATCTAGTTGCTTGCTTCAAACTACGTTACCAAGCACAGCTATTGGCCATGTAATTTTGTAGTGTAATGTAAATGAGAAAAAAATTGGCCATATAAAAATTGACCCGACTCATTTTTACCAGTCCAAAATTATGCACTAGCATTGACTGCTGATTGTAAAAATGTATGCATTTTGTTGCATTCGATGTAAACGGAATCCTGAATGATAACAGCTGTATGTTTGATTTGAACAATTAAATAAATTAATAAAGCAGTTTCTTGCCGTCTTCTTGGATTTTTTTACGTCAAAGTATAGCATTATTCCCTAATTTTACATTTTTGCGTAACATTACGTACACTTATACATATAGATATATTTTCTATGAATCATACATTTAATTCGCCATTAATGATACAAATGTTTAATCATAGATAGGAAAAGGATGCAATCGACAAGCTAACCACGGCGGATTATAGATTTCTTTGACTAGCTTCCAACTGTGCACGCAGAATGTTTCTTTTTGCCTACTTGCTACTTTTATTTTCTGCCTCCATATAGTATATATATAGTATACGTACAAGGGAGCAGAAGTCTCCTAACACTTTGGTCCTAATCTTTTACTAACTTTTTTTATTTTCATTTTTAGCCTTCTACAACTTCGATAACAGTTCCACTAACAGCTCTTTCTTCACAAGTAACTTCCCCTCACCTCATTCTGTAACTTAATCATATATATATATAATTAAACGAATTATATATTTCAATTGGCAAACATCAGATACCACTAAACTTATACGAGAAAAAACAAATAAATAGCTTAAAAATACAGAAAAAGTAGTCGACAACTAACCTTCGCTAATTTAACACATCAATGTATTAAATTTGTTCAGTTAGTTTGTACTGAATCGGTCGAACTAATGAAACAAACGACGCTAAATAGACGTCTCGAATATGTCGTTATTTTACCCGAATATTTTGCATTCCCGAGTTCTGTAAGTTTATTGCGTACACATATATGACCACGACGAAGATAACGATTCACGCAAATAGCGAAATCCCACATCCCACACATATTAGATTCCACACACAATAGATCCCACACCCACACACATTAGAAATGGTAAAGTGCATAGATTTTTTTCTTCTGCGAATATCTCATAAGTAATCAAAGCAAGAGCCTGAGTATAACAGAATGGTTTCGTAAAACGTAATACATCCTCGGTCACAAGGTCTGGTGTTGTTTGCATTGAGCGTGTCGCTCTTGTGCTACCCTATTATGATTAGATTGGTTTTTGAATACATGTCGTCAGAAAGAAGGCTCTAAACCACACAAAGCAATGAAAACATCACTCACGTAATACTACTGCTATCACTAATAAAATCCGCAAAGCAAATACTAGTTTCCGGCGAAAGGTGCACCACAGACTGCCGGAGTTCTTCGAAATTAAATGAATGAAGTGAAGTATCACACTGACGGTACGCATAATCTCGCATGCGCATGTAGAACCAAAAATTGAAATAAGTTTAAACTTGAGGTCCAAGAGAATTGAAAAGAAACCCATTTACCCTATTTTTTTAATTATTCTATTTTTAATAGTAACCCATTTGGTGCCTTTCAGGCTCGAGAACATCTTTCGGAAACTACCCGTATAATCGACCCAGGCTTCTAGGTTTGTTTTATAGTGAACAAACCAACACAGCCGCCCCAGCTTAGGGGTCTCAAGGGCAATTATGTGTGTTTGGGGCGTCATCTGCTCCAGGGTGTCATATTCACTCTTGCACTGCGTTTGTTCGCCAACGTTCAACTCTTTCGCATACATCTTTGGCATAGTGATATTTATCGATATGGTAGGCCACTGATCTACTCCACCGCGGTCCTAGCGTAGCAGGACCGGAGTTGCTAATCTGCTGATGTTTAAACTCGTTGGCCTGTTATTAATAAATAACAACAAATTGCAGCCAATGAAGTCCTACTTCTTGATCTTGTTTGTTACATGTAGTAAAACTAAGTCACGTTTGTTTCGATATGGGGATTTGATCATGTAGGTTTAGTTTCTTTTAGCTTCTTACTTGTCTTATTGTGTAAGGCATATTTCACAATGCCCGATATAATGGTACGCATGGTTTAGAAAAATATGATGGAAAGGAGTCAAATTATATATATACCTACCGTTAACGAATCCGAACTAGCGTCGTATTAGTTTTTTTTACTCTTTTGAAAAAAAAACCCTAACTTGTAGATATAATAATAATAAGAAGCCTTAGATGAAATCGCAGACGAAATTCGCCAATGAAATTTGGTTTATTTTTCTTCGTTTTGCTTCATTTTTCTTCATATTTAATGGATTGGAATAGAAACAGTATACGAATGGAACACAAATTAGAGAGTGTGCATAAATTTTCACCTTGCAAATTTAAAGTACACGTTATTTTTGAACTAGTTCACTTGTTCTTTCACTTTTCTAGGGACGTTATACATTAGTATATAATATCTCGTATAAGGGGCAATAAGAGTATTCCACACGGCGCTGAAACATTACAAGGTATGAGTAAAATTTGCCCTAATACAGATAGCACAACGACATAGAAGCGGTTGAAGTAAATTGAAATCCGACACTGATCAAATATTTTTTCATGTGAATATTATCCGTGAATGATGTGGCCATTAATAAAATTGTATACTATCACTTGATAAACCTTCCGTATTTTTGTTTAGATCTTATACACAATGGCCGGGATAGTTATAATACAAATTTTTGGCAATACAGTGAATATCGAAAAACGCTTTAAGGCAAAACCTGCCGAAGTATTTTTTCTGTTTACTGGATAAACTATAACCAGCCCTCACCATCGTATTTTTAATTGATGTTGAGCCCGTGATTACCCTCGGCAGACAGCGTCTGAATTCTGCTGAAAATACTGCCTATTAAGAAATACTTTGATGATCACTAGTGATACTTAACAGAATGCTTGTTACTAGATTTCTCAAGATTTGCCTAATGAAGTTAACGAGAACGTCGAGGTTTTTCTCGATGCGAATCACCGCGCTGCCACACGTAATGCCTTACGATGGCTTATTAGCAGACTAAAGTCTGCATTTATTAGGAAATAGTTTCTATTACTTTCGAAAAGCATACGGCCCGTTAGATGAGCCAGCTATGATCGATACAATGGTGACAATTTGGCAAAACGCGCGGCTACTTCAAGCGGAAGACAAAACAATGAAACAGTGAAAAGAAATAGCATGATTTTATGAGGCATTTGTGATTCCCTTAAAAAACCAGCGATATTCATGCTCAGAAATTTGCATTAAAGTGTATTGGCTTACAAAGGCAATCAAGCCTAAGCGTCGTCTATAATCTTACGAATGTAATCAGTGCAACATAAAGTTAAAAAAAATTGCTCGAGCAACGCTAGCGGCTGAAATTTCTTAATGGAAACGATGGACGAGAAAAGATCTGTACACGATATGTAGTAGAATGGATTCGGCTCGACGCAGCAATATCTTTCGAGTCGAACGCCGTTCCCACAAACTGTCGAGACACTACTCATCGCAAGATGGTCTTGTGCGGCAGATCAAACTACGATGCAGGCGCCGATGGCGAGATCTTTCTATCAAGAACGGTGCGATGGTTAACCTTGCATCGATCATTATAAGCGAATAAAATCGACCGGAAGGAATTCATCGTCAAATACGTCCATAATATAAAATCTTTTATGTAGCACGTACTTGAAAAGTTCGTGGTCGACTTCTCGATCAATAAATGTCGAAGACTGAGTCGGGATAAATTGTGCCCCGAGAAATTCGAGAGCATAAACTAGTTTTACATCGCACGTAATCAATGACACGCCCATACACTTTAAATGAATTCATATTTAGTGTAGGCCGGCCCACAAGTACTAGATGCGAGCTAGTTACAGAACTCATGTTAGTAAACAAGTTCTGTATGAAGACACTCGGTTTGCTTAGGGTATATGGAGTACTTACCCAGTACGACAAATTTTTACTTTGTGCCACTAAGAAACATACATGTGTGAAAAATCAGATCAACCTAAATCGCTTACTGAAACGCAATACGTTGTGAAAATTCCTTCGCAATTCAACCCAGGACCGTTTCACTGATACCCAAAAAGTTCAAAGTTCAAAGAACTATCTATAAGGTTAGCACAGGTTACATCATCTAGAAACAGGCTGCTATCTTTGGTAGATAATGACATATATGGGTTGCTGAATAGGTTGTCACTTTGTTTCTCTCATTCATCATTAAATTTCCATAGACAATTCGGTTCCGTGGGAGTTTTACTTACCATTCCCGATGCAAATCACACTTAATTTAAAATTCATAGTTACCACATTAACGCAATTCGTTCTTGAAAGTAACTTTGCTCAAAGTGAATGTCATATTTGTTGCTTCTGTAGAATATCTATTCTACGAGACAGAATACAGGAGTGTCAACAGGTGCGCCAATCCGATTATTCTTTCAAGCTTAACAAACTAAAAAACGTTATATGGGCAAAAAGATATGAAGACATAGATGATATTTACGATGAAGAGACGTACCCGTCCGAGAACTCGAAACATCCTGGCATTAACCGATGATCTGGCACGAGATAATAAATATATTGACTTTTAAAGTACCGTTCGTTCGCTCACTGCTGTGCTTGAGGTGCGCTGTTTGTTCAGTTCGCCATCGGAATAATTTCGAATCATGTGTACTACTCTTTATAGCCGATATCTCCGCAATCCTGTTCAAACTTGGGGTGATTTCTTGCCTAGACACCTATACCAAAAATAGTTATCAAAACATTTGGATGCAAAAACAAAGCTGAATTCAATCTCCATAATGAATAAAATGTACACGTTTCTCTATTTAGAAATAATGCGCGTTCTCTTTAATGGATCCAACCGTTAACTTTTGCGCGAGATAAAGTAGGCTCTACGACCATACTGAGAAACGCAGGTTGTTATATATAGTTAGTTGGCTTTAAGATTTATTTATTTCACATTTAAAATCAACGATTTTTGTTACGCTATCCAATTGTGCCCTTTCTGACCACTGCAGTTCGTTCGAAAACTACTCGGATAGAGTTATTTTTCGCTTGTCTGTATATCTGCATCCTGTGTGCTATTATTTGAGGTTGGAGCACGGGAGTAGGAAAAAAATTCAAGCTTTTATTGGACTTATTTGAAATAACGGATCAATTAATAATATTTTTGTACGGAATTTTCGCGCGCGAAGATCGTAATAGACTCAAAAACGTTCCAAAAGGCACCATGTCCAGTTCCCCGGTCACTAGCAATGTTAACTTCTCTGACGCGACGACTGCAGAGAAAACGTAAGTGCTTATATCTTCAAGAAAATACGAACATTTTCAACATCACCATATATACTCATCATATATTGGAATCCAAAACTATTCTCATTAGATGTAATTACGATTCCTTAATAGAAAAGTTTTTGTTTGACATAGTAAATTTACCTCACGATGTACTGTTCAAAACTGCGCCTGTGCTTGATCCGCAAAGCGAGTCCGTAGAGCAGGACCATCCGGAACAGCAATACTTAAATTTGATTCGTCATATTCTCAAGATGGGAACGACAAGAACTGATCGAACTGGCACTGGGACCATCTCTGTGTTTGGCTCCCAAAGTCGTTATTCGCTTAGGGATGGTACAATGCCGCTATTGACAACAAAAAGAGTTTTCTGGAAGGGAATCGTTGAAGAATTGCTTTGGTTCTTACGGTACGTATGGTTTTTCTTCATAATTCTAGATTATATATTCATTTTAAATGTAGGTCCATAAAGACTACGATTAGATAAACAACATGCATACACAACCGGTACTAGCGTAGGATTTGTCGATATCCTACTTCAATGTAATTGCCAAAAGGTAATCGTGATATATATATATATATATATATATATATATATATATATATATATATATAATAGTGTTGTTACACACTAAATGTATGAACTTGTTCGTCATCCGGTCCGCAATTAGTCTAAGATAATAGCCAAGTAGTCAATGGCATCGCTACCGTTCAACCTTACTGTCTTGATACTGAAAGGTACAAACCGCGCTAACCATTTACCACAGATTTTCTTATGCTCTTTTTTCTATTTTTAATAATGAAATAGAGTTCAGTGTCAGATTTTTCAAAGTAGAATAGTTTTTGCTATCAGATTATTTTTACCTATAAAGGGGTATACTTTGCCGTTTTGAGGATTATTCCAGTCCATACATAAATGTAAAGACTCAATTTGTTTTAGACTGTGAGGTCGTAACAATTATAGCTCTGTTTTGCTCAGGTTGCCTACAGGCATAAGCAGCAATTGGATTCGATCGTGGCTCGATTCATATTTTGCTTAGTCGAGTTAATATTATCTACGTTTCTTTTTGCACGCAGATAAATTTAATCAACTGATTTATTCTACTAAATTTTTTGCTTGATATGCCGGTTTAGGTCTTAAAAATTCTTAACTTACAACCCGCTGGCGTATAAGCTTTCATGCATAAAGCATACCTAGAACCGAGAAAACAATTCAACTTTTAATCAAGTTGTGGTTTTGAATGTTTCATTGACTGGAATAAAAAAAACATAACTTCTGTACTGAGACACTATGTGATTTAGAGGCATGTGTTGACTATCAAATGCGTTTCAGGTACGTAATTTCGAGCGCATTATATATGTAATTATGACTTAATTTTCCATACTGGTTACTCCAGATGTACTGAAGGGAAAGAATGTTTGAGGTAATTACAGAAAACCGTAATAGAATGTTTATAAGTCCGATCTCGAACTCGCGCACTAAACAGGAACTGTTCATGGAAACTATGCACCCATTGTTTAAATAGTCGCTTGAGTTATATCGTGTTCTTTTTATCTCTATTATTATCTTGTTTTAGAGGCTCTACCAACGCCAAGGAGCTGTCGGAGAAAGGAGTAAAAATTTGGGATGCCAACGGTTCTCGTGAATTTTTGGACAGCCTTGGTTTTACCGCCAGGGAAGAAGGCGATTTAGGCCCCGTGTACGGCTTCCAGTGGCGCCATTTCGGTGCTGAGTACACAAATATGCATGCCGATTACACGAACCAGGGAGTTGATCAGATTGCTCAGATCATCAGCACACTAAAGAGCAATCCAAACGACCGACGTATTATTCTATCGGCATGGAATGTCTCGGATTTGCCAAAGATGGCGCTTCCGCCCTGTCACTGTCTGGCTCAATTTTACGTCGCCAAAGGTGAAGTCTCATGTCAACTGTACCAGCGCAGCGCCGACATGGGCCTCGGTGTTCCGTTCAATATTGCCTCTTACGCTCTGCTTACGCACATCATCGCTCGTCTGACTGGATTGAAAGGGGGCGACTTCGTGCATACGACAGGTGACACTCATGTTTATTTAAATCATGTCACACCACTTCAGAAGCAGTTAGAAAGACTACCGCGCCCATTTCCGAAAATTGAGATTGATTTTCCAGAGGAAACACCGTTTTGGGAGTTGAAAGCAGAACATTTTAAGTTGATCGGTTACGATCCTCACGATGCGATAAAGATGGATATGGCTGTATAAAAAACATTTTTCCCATTGACGAATTTGGTTTATAATGTCTTTGTACTCAATGTGTGGTGTCGGTGCCAAAACCTATTGTAAACGAATGCATTTTTATCTTCCGCCTACAGCAAAAACGAAAAGAGAGTCGGTCAAGGTACTCGACTACTTCACGTTGGTCTCAGCACCTGCATACTAGAAGACAATTTAATATTCGCTCATGGAGGTATTTTTGCGTTGAATTCCTTTTTCTTTTATAAAAAGAGGTTGTGTGATATAAACAAATCAACATACAGCGTTATATGATACGACTGTTTGCATTCGTTTGCGCGCCAGTTCGAAAGATATTTGCGCTTAATGAGGCAAATCATGCCGATTATAGGAGCTCATCTGAAACTAATAATCTCATTTTACGATTAGGATGCAAAAACTAATCGTCGTATCGTATCTGGCCTATTTAATCGACCATGCATCATATATTGTATGCAGTGTTGGTGTGGAAGCACTGAAAGTAGCATAGCTAGCTTTTCCTAGCTAGTGGTTCTAGGTTCGAATTCGGGTGTAGAGACACTTCGTGCCGCAATGATTGCAACAGTAACTCGCTTCTCTTAGTAAACATTCACGGAAACGCTGCTAACCTGTATGAAATAATTTTATTTAGAAACGATTTAATGATGTCCATTGTAAAACGCATTCAAAGTTTACACACAGGTAGATGCAAGTTTGGACACATCGAAAATCTGATGATAAGCACGTGCAAAATTAACATTGGATCCACTTCAAAAGTAAAGTCATAACCAATAAAAGTGTATTGTACATAGTGTATTCAGTTCTTATGTATATTGCACATGTACACTTTTTAAACTTGTGTCTAAATATTGAATACTAATACCACTAAAAATGTCGTAGACTTTTATGAAATTAAGCCACCTTGAGTAACGTGGACTTCCACGAAAGTGTGGACAATCGATAAATTATTTATTCTTCTTTTTATCTCAAATGGATTTACGTATCTTGTGGTATATAGCTAAGTCTCGAAAAATTGACATTGGCGTGTCACAACATGATTTTTTTGTGCATCTCGTGTATAACAATCTCCTATGGGCGACCACAAGTACCTGCGCAAATCTGCGCGAACACTGGTTAACACCTACGAGATCTATTCTTTTTCGACGAACATTTTTTTCGCGCCTCCATCGGCTACATCATGCTCCTCGCTTTTCCCAGTAACGATAAATTTTATTGTGTTATACTGATTGTAAGTGATGAAAGTTTCTCAACAATTAAGCAGGAAAACCCAAACTGAACTATATTACGAAACGTAGTGTAAAATGTAAATACGTACGCGATAAGGTATACACATAATACATATATAGTGTTGGACTTTTTACGCCTAGCAAATAAGTAGGGATATAAAATGATTAACGTAAGTGTGATTAAAATTATCATTTATATTCAGACCTTTTAAACTTATTGAGGAAACGGGTCTGCATTTTGATTTTCTGTAAGAATTTAGCAAACCTCAACTCACGATTTCGATTTCGAATAAGCGGACATTGATTGGCAATCTAATTTGACCCTTTTAGTGACCAACTATGTATGTTAACTTGTTTATTCATAGTGTATTATGAAATTTAAAGACTCTATTCAGTTTATAATGCCGTTTTAGATTTACTCGTCCGTGCACACAGTTCCTCAAAAGCAACAAAAAACGGTTGCGAAGTAATCAAAGATAAGTAGTAGGCAAGTAATTTTTTAGAATTATTTCCTTTATTCATTCACATATCATTTCTCTTTCGTATAATACGACGGCATCCCCGAATCCCTAGACTATCTCCATCGTACAATTAGATTTAATAGGTACATTTCATGTTTACCTCCGCCATTAATGAACCTCACGAGCGGCTGTACGCGCACTGCTAAATTCAACGTCAGGAAGAAGTACTGTCACAAACAATTATATCTGTATATCCGGATCTTATGTATTCTGTACAAATTAATAACAGCAGTTCCAATTACCAATAAAACATCTATATAACGCTAATTAATTGCCGTTACAACTACGTTTGGCTCAACCGTTACGTTATTCTGATTGGGGCAAAACAATAGCCATATAATTATTTGGCAAGTTCCAAAAATACGTCACACTAGGGGCAGTCTGCCGCACAGCGGACTTACCGTCTCTGAAATTGAATCCTGTAAGGCTATTATATATACTATGATGAGGAATAGCAGAAAGACCAAGTGCGATAAATTGACGGCACCTCAGTTTCACCGAAAAATAAAACGTGCCATGTAATCTCAGACATGCTTAGATCACTTGAAAAGTTATGCAGCTATGGCTATAAAAGACCAAAAATAAAGTTTGGTTCCCTTGCGCTGATACAAGTTCTACCTTTGTACAAAACAGATTGTTTTACTACAGCTATGGAACGCTCCATGGTTGACTGTCGACGCTTCATTCTTTTGCCATTTGGCGTCCGGTAATCAGAAAGCCGTACACATTTGAAACGGGGCATACTGCTTCGAACTCGACAGATATTTCGATAGATCTCTATTATCAAGTGGCATGATCGAGTAGTAAGGGAAATAAACCTATGTAGCTTTAAAGTTTGTAATAACTGGTAAAACAACAAAACCACACAGTAGATGTGGCTTTTATGAGTCTTAATAAAAGAACAGCGGATACTTTTCATTAATGCCCTAATTTTTTTTATATATAATCGTGGTTAACTGCGCCAAGTTCAATACCCAGGCTCATTATAGCCTTGATTTGCTGTTCGGTTCCGCCTTTGTTGTGAAAAGAAACGTCTACCAAATAGATCTTTTAGAAGTTCTTGGTTATTTCTTGAAGATTCTATTGGGCCATTGAGATGTAGTGAGGCTGGCTCCAAGAATTCGGATGGCCCATTTTAGAACTTCCGTTCGTCATCCTGATTTTGACCTTTATGTTTATTCAGTGTATCCTTCTTATTGATGAATTTCCATAGATGTGATGGATAAGCATCCTGATCATATGATTCCCGTATCGTTTCATAAGAGTCCATAATGACTGAAAGAAACAACGAAATCACACAATATATGAACAGAATGAGGAACATGTAGAGATAAATTCGAGAAAACCACCATATCACACCAGTGCTTTCTCCCATAATAGCGAACGTCGCAAAAATATCATCGCCGTTCATCAGAGCGAAGAGACATTCTGACGTTGAACTAAGCGACCGAAATTTGATGTTATGCGGACCAAGTACCACCCATCCACAGAAACAGAATCCCATATATAAGAGTATAGCGCACAACAGGAAACGCAGAATGTTTGGTGTGGCTCGTTTCATTGTCAGAATGAGAATATTATACTTTTGGAAGAAGCCAAGGTAACGTAAAACACCCGCCCATACCAGCAGATTGCCGAAACCCAATAGAGTGCTGCAGAAATTATATTGGGTCCCATCGATCAAGCGCTGTTCAAGTTGTATCTTGATTAGGGACCCTATAATAATGAGCACGTCATTGGTAATAATCATAACGTACCAAAAGTCCACAAAATCAAGCTTGTCACTCCACGTCAATGCGGTACGGTTTTTCTGCCAAAAAAACACCTCTGTTTGTGACCGCAAAGCTTGGCCCCGTAAAAGCGATCGGAAACACAGTACTAACGAACTAGAACAGAGGAGAATGACGATGCCGTTCATGAACTGACGGAAAATAATTTCCGCTTCGCTTGTTGCTTCATAATGTATATTGGTCTGACAGTTCAGCTTTGTACTAGCGGTCATCAGCGTGATTAAAATCTGACCATCATGCGCCGCGTTATTATACTTAACGTTCACGTCGTATTTGTAGCATTCGGGCAGATCGAATGGACTCATACTTTTTAGGTAAACCGTCTTTAGGGCAAACATAACATTCGCCTGGATGAGGCGCTCAAACTCTAAACTAAAATTGTTCTTCTCTGCATAGTCCTTCATTGAAAAGTTCTGCCATTGTTTGTCATTCTTCTTCCACAGCATCTCGACCGTAAGGCATTCCGTCTGCTGGATGTTATCAAAGATCAGAATTTCATTATACGGCGTCATATGTCTTAGTCCGTATTGCGTTTTGCAAAAGGTCAAGTTGCCCAGTTCGCCATCTTTGGTATCGTAGCCCAGGGGGGCGACTGCTGTCTTCGTAACATTTGTGTAGCGTCTAACAACTGTATCGAGATGCCTGTAAAAGTCTTTCTTCGTGTAGACGGCGTAGGGGCCTGCGGATGGCGGATACGAGGCTACCTCTCTAGCAGCTGTCCAATCTTCGAGGAACATGTGGTCCAAGGCTATATTCGTGTCCCGATGTTGCCGTTGAAACGCGTAGCTGTCATAACCGAAAAGCACGAGCTGCAGTGTGACAACAATGATCTTTACGACTTGCAAGACCAGTTTCCACGGTAGACGACCTTTCGCCTGGAATTTTTCAATGGGGTTCATTAAAAAGAATCGCAACTTTCTCCTCATTCTCTGTTCGTATAGAACCCATTCATCTTCAGTCGGCTCAATGGAGTTTGATTCATTCATGGTGAAAGGATCAGCAGGTTCTATCGCAGCATCGGAAATAATAGGCTCCATGTTAAGTCTGCGTGTTACAGAAGCATTGTTGATAATCTTTGAAAGTAATGTCTGGAATAGGCAATGAACAAAGACAAGCGCAAGAAGAGAAAATTGAATGAGCCGTTAGTAAGATAAGAAATTTAGTTGAGTAAATTAGATAAATAAAGGTTGGCTAATTTAGTTAATACTAAATAAATACTATTTAACTTAGCTAGATTTAGTTAAGTGAATGCTATTTAACTTAGCTAAAGCTAGTATCATCAATGGTCAGCTCGCTGCTGACGTCTAGTGTCATGATAAAGCAAGGTCTTAGCCTGAAATGTACATTAATTTATCCGTGTCACAAATTCCAGTTTTCTAGGAGTTGAATAATGTTCATAATGAACAAGAGACATTCGCCTGCTGCGGAAATAATTTAATCGTCATTTCTTTTAAGCAGGTTGATTCGAATTTCTCAAACGGTTACACTAATAAAAAAAAGTCAGTGCAACAGCTTTTCTAATTATTGCTGTTACTTCCCAAACCACTTGCTGGAGAAGTACCCAGAGCGGAGCGGTGTAGTTAGTTGTTCTAAAACAATCGGCGCTTGCTCCTTTTCAAATCGACGAAAAATATTTAATTGAATCGCCATTTGATAATCAGGCAGAATATAATACGCCGAAGCCCGCATCGGCACTGCACAACACACAATGTACAGGAATATCACAGTCTTCAGCTACGGTCATGTATTCGTTGTTTTTCTGAGTGTGATTCATGTTTTGCTTTGTTGTTCTTACGTTTCCTCTTATGATTTAGTGTAAAAAAATGGCATTTTGCGGGACTTCATTCCTAGTCCATTCAACTTCCGAAAGGTACACAAGCGTGCACTCACGCAGGTCTATCTTGTTGACTTAGCTGGACCACGATGGATTTAGGGGCTAGGACAAATAGGCACCGGCTTTAGGAGAGACAATCTCGGCCGCAACGGCCGTCGTGAGGCAACATCAGCCTAGTCTAGCGGAATAGCAAATGTTAGTAAGTTGCTTTCGTCTAAACAAAATCATACAAATAGTACGTCAAAAGGCTAACAATATTTTCTGTTTACTGCTTCGCTTAATGTTCACTTTAATGGCTGCGATTTGTACTACTGTCAATATTGACATGGTAGTTCCTTTTACTTTAGGCAGCGGTAATCCTCGATGAAGAAAGTAGTTCTTGGTATGTAAATTTCCACCGAGCCCTTTCGCTAGCTCATCCCTGAAGCTGAGTATAGCTGACGTTTTTTGACGGAAATACACGGGATTCTACCATCTCATGGAATATACCCGTGGATTCAGCTGCACTAGAACGAACGGCGAGCTGACGTCATGTCGTATTGTTTGTGATGACATGAATTGCGCGACAACTGCTGACGGCTCCTTCCAATTTAGAAAGTGCGAACGATTCCAGCTTTGCAGATTTGCTCACAATATTTAGTAATACCAAAATAATGATCTAATTATGTTCTGTTTGGATCTAATTATGTAAAAACAACAGCATTGTACCGATCACTCGGCATGACTTTATGATGCAGCATAGGCATGAGCTAACTTAGCTCATAAAACGAGAGGTGTGTATTACCGGCAGCTGGTAAGCAAAATGTTCGTCTGTTCTCCAAAAAAGGCCAGGTAATCACGCGCACGTTGGACATCCATCGGATGGTTGCTGTTGCAAATCTACTTTCATGGAACTGGGTTAAATCAGTGGAACACTATAGGTTGAGGTTTAATAGCAACATTTACAAGAAGATAAGGCTCAAATCTGTCGGCTAGCTGCGTGGCTCATAAGCGCTCTCTAGTACAGAATCTCCTTATTTCTGAAATGTACCCTTAGTCAACTCTCAATCAAGTCAACAATCAAGGAAGCCTTCTACTTTGAGTACAGATGGTAATAGATATCGGCGTATCGGTCAGTGGCGACGGTGCGAATTAACTAGCATTGAATTCATCCGTAACATGGAAACAAATTGAGTCTGACCAATGCAGAAAGAACCCTGACTAAATGGTAAAGTTCATTTTGGCAGACTGATCTATTCTTCACGTAGCAGAGTATGTACAAGCCATGGCATCGTACAACGGTAACCATGGGTCTGCTAGGCGTATGCATGTTTCAAAAATGTTGCTAAGGGTCAACAATGTACATTCGTCAATATTTACCTTACGAAATTATTAATCACGTGTCAGCTAAGGGGAATCGGGTTACTATAGCTACCAACGCAACGTGAGAATAGCGACCACAAATTAAAAAATGTATGGCTATTTGCTACATATTTTTTATAGATATTCATAGATATCTATATCGATTTGTCTAAGAATTTGTAAATATATTAACTGTTAATGGGTAATGAATTTGGATGATTTGTCGGTAGTAAAAAAGAAGCTGAGCAGAATACCATTTGTATCTGCTACTATGGGATGGAGTACATGTCCCAAGCATCTTAATAATTATATCTCGCAGATAATTATTTATATCCGCTGAAAATCTAAACGGCAACACATGTCGAAGCCGCTCACGTACTTAACACTCGAAAGGAACAGTAAGGACTTAACGAAACATTATCATTTACTCTGTTGAGTTTGAATTTAATGATTAAAATTAAAGGTAAGGGGCAGGATGTCTCCACGGTAGGCCGACACCGGTATAACTTGATATTGCATAAATACGCTACCCTTCGCAGCTACAGATTAAAGCACTAGCCACTCTACCGCGGATATTTTCTAAAACTAAAAGTCTTCCACCTTCGAGTTTCGGCTATGCGAGCAAGCTTAGTAACAAAATGGACATTTCAAAACACGACGAAATTGCTTTTCGATATGCCACTTCGCTACGGTATACCTAACTACAGAAAATGCAAATACTATTTTAAATAATATTAGGTTTTTAGCTCTACATTTTTAGCTGGTCAGCAAGTAACTGACTAAGCGGTAACGTTACCAAACAAATCTGGCGGAGATAAATATTCGTATTGAGTTTTATAGATTCACAGAGTTTGCAAGACAAAAAAATCCGGGCGGAATAGACTGATCTGTACAGGCAATCTGATCGATTTCAACGGAAGTATTTACAGAAATCCCAATGGCTCGATTCCAATGTCGGAGTTACCGGCAATAATATTCAAATCATTTGAAGGAACGCGCCGCTCTAAATTTAAAAGATACAAACGTTTTGCAACCTCTGACAAGCCCACTCACGTGCTCAGCAGCGTGATCGAGTTCAAAGTTGGCTTTGATATTTATATCGGCAATAATGTACTCTAAGTAACGCTTTTTATGAGTAAGAAACAAATCGCTCTATTACCTCTGCGAGGCTTAATTTGCCTGAAAAATTAAATGCCTTACAATTCTTCCTTTGCAAGCTTTGACCGCTGCTGTATTACTTAAAAGCACCGTAGGTTTACGATTTACCAAAAATTGCTATTTTTTTAAATAAATAAAACGCTTGGTCGGTTATATGTCTAAATGTCTCTGAACTTCGAAGCGATAAAGCTGCGGTTAACTATTTGACTGTTTCTAAATTATTAATAATCATTTTCTAATAGTACGTCAAAATTTTCATCAAGTGATACCATTTATAAAAAGTAGCATTACATGATACATCGACGTATCTCTAAATTGTTCTTAGATTAAATTTCGAAACAAGACCGCGTAGAATATCGTCTTTAAGAGCCTTGACAGCCGGTAAGATTAAAGACTTGCAGATTTGGCTGTAAAAGCCGACGTGCTCAGGAGCTTTTGCCGATAAAAATGGTAAAGACATACAGGTAGGTACTATATTTCAGTGCCACCAAATATGTTTCAAAATGCGGATCGATGCACTGTTCGGTTGTTGCCTGCTTAGCATGCATAAGTAATACTCGGCTCATAGAGCTAACTGCACTGATGAAGCACTCCGACTCATTTTTTCCCTAGGTTTTCCAATTAAGGCTTTCGATGTAAAATACGTACGTAAAATTTAAGCCGTTCAATACCTAGCGGCAATATCTACGGTTACTTAATACGAGGAATGTACCCAGGAACAGCGGGTACGGAGAAGAAACAATGAACGATTGCAGACACATCAGGTCGCTGCTAATCTCCACGTAAGTTCAAATCGGTGCTGTTTCAATCCATCTATAGTGTACGTATTTATCGACTGCCTGAAAAATCATAGTATTACGCAAAGCGTAACCAAGAAAGATACGTTTTAACGATTATCTAGAATTAGCTACAACACTTATTCCTTTAACCCATGGAGATTCTTTATATGTACGCTTAATAGCACTGACCTAAAATTAGATTTAAACTTGCTCATGCTAAAATAATAAGATTTTGTAAAAAAAAATAGGCTTATATTGAAGTATAAATTCACGGGCAAACATGCACAAACATGAAAGAGCTAAGCTTTGTTGAACTTTCCTTACACTACGCTACGTTAGATATTTCCACAACAGCAACACTAGCATCAATACAGCAGCTACCATAGCTGAGGGCTACTCAATTTCATGTCGCAGTCATGTTATTGGATATTGTCGCGAAAAAATATGAAATAACAATTTAAATAAATTAATAACGACTGCAGAGCATTGTTAACACTGCCTTTACTTTATCGTGTACTACTATTGCGCGAAAAAGGTGTTATGTTTGAAAAATTCTTTTATATCTTTCCTGTTGCTTTCTATGATAAGAGAGAGCAACAGTGTATATATCCGTATATATAGAATAGTTAAAGATGGAAGAAGAGACAAAATCGGTATATGTTACAGCAATTAGGAAAAAAATTGCTTTGCACGAAAAAGGCACATTTCCAGTCCATAGAGCTGCAATAGTGAGAATTTAATGCTTATTCTTTATTTGTCTATTGCAACAGTTTCATATCAATTAGAAAAAGCTTGAACAAATATGACGTTCTGCAAAATCCGTTGCTTTTACTGCTTTCAAATCGAATAGTCATTCTATCAATTGATGTCGCTCCTTAGGTGCGAACAAGAGGGTAAATACTATCTAAATTACAATGGTTTTTCTCTCTTGCCGGAATATATGATGATGAGGAGAAAAGATTTCGGGAACGCAATTACTCATCGTTAGTAAGCTTGACACTTCAGTGAAAATTTAGAAAAGCTGATACTACACCTATTGTAACGATCACTTGGTGGACCCTACGGCGGACAGTCAATACTTTGGTAATTATTTTCAAAATCTATTAAAAGGAAATCAGAGACGTCGTTGAGCCTCTTTTAAATCGGCATTTAGCGTTTGGTGCAAGCTAGAATCTATCAAGCACACACAGTAACAACCATAATATATTGATATGTCACATTGACCCGTTACGGTTCGATCAAAAACCCAAACAAGAAATGAAACTTCATGGTTTTTATTTTTCACTGAAACGCCCTACCAAATAAAATTATGCTATGAGCAATACGTTTACCACTTCAATAAGAAGATTAAAAACTATTGAACCACAATTCATTCGCTCAGCCCTATCAAAAAAAAATACAAACAAAACTATCAGGAACAACGTAGTAGCTATTAAGCGCAGATCTGATAGAAACAAGTACGGATACGCAATGGATAGTACACGTGCCAGCATTTTCAAACAGACAAATTCCTCTGTCATCTCTTCAGTATATAAACTTTTATTTTTATAAGTACTTCTTACCATATGAAGTAAATATTATGTTCATAACTCTGCCGTCATCGATGATAACGTCATGTGCCGTTATTACAATTACTGGATAATGGGACGTCATTTTGCGTCAATTTGCAAACACGCATTGTCACCCTTAACTGTTAACTTAGGTTACATTTCAATGCTTAAGTTTTCAGTGGCAAATGACGACCATGGTGGAATCGCGCGCTCCTGCCTACTGTTACTTGTACTACTTATGCAATTTAATCAGTGCCTTCATCCTTGATTCTGCCGTCGGTGAACACAAATTTTTGTTGATACAACAGCATCATCACAGCCATATTAGAATGTCCGTCTACGTGACGTTGTCATCTTCTACTTTCGCATCCTTTTGATGTATCTCAACTAGATCGACTTTTTCACCACAACGACGAAAATCGGCTCCACTGCACTTAAACCCTCTTCGTTTGTATCTTGACTTGTCCAAACCACAGCAGAACTGTAATTTCTTTGTTCTTTTTTTTTTTGTTATATCTTACCGTACTCTTGCCACCACTCATATCTATGGATTAGTTAGCTGGCTGGTCCCCTCTTCGCCTATTTTTCCATTAGGTCTCCCCCCCCCCCCAATACGAACGCGGCGGTGCCTCGAATCAGCCCCGACCGTCGATGAAATGATTTCAATCATCGTCTCAGGAGATAGATGTTCGCGCGAAGAAGAAGGTTGGTCAGCTGGCAAAACGATTGTGCATTTTGAGCCAATGGGAAAAACCAGCCAACAATATTGGACCGCTGGGAAAGCGCGCTTCTTACACGAATTGCGGCTCGAGCCGACGACGAAATCCTCGTGTGCGCTGATTTCGAAGCAGTGTCGGCGAAGCGGCGTTTTTGTTCGTATACACGAAATGCTCCGCCTGCTACTTCTGGTGTCTGCTAACTATAATAAAGTGCTTGCTTGGTGGTGTGTCGGGACGACTTGTCTCTTGAAGATGTGTGTTGTTACGGCTATGTGAGATTTGCCGTTTTGTACACCGTCGCCGCCGAGATGTCTACTCTGCATTTTATTGCCTTCCCGTTACCAGGAACAGAAGATCAACTAAACGACAGGTAAGCTAGCACGAGTTGTTGTACCGCTGTTTGCAAGTGCCTAGCTCTCGAATGGTCATGAACTCACTCAGGAGAATGGATATAACGAAAACACGAACGTTTAAGCTGTCGTAGCCCGGACGTTTTTTTCCGAGAAACAAATCCATGAACTATGCAAGGCTTACCAGCTAGGCGTATTCCGAAAGAATATACGCATCCGCCATGTGCTTGCCTAATATTGCCTTCCCCGGTTGTTCTTACTCGGAGGCTCGCTGATGGTTATGTTTTCACCGCGGCGATATGTAACTACACCATTTGTGTGGACATTCTTGGATTCTAATGGTACGGGATAAGAGTATGGCGTTCCTATATCTATACTTGTTTGACATCTACCAACAAGTTTCTATCGCCATGAGCCCATTGGATGGTGGATGAAATTTTGCGTGCGTTTCTTCTTCGCGGACCATTATACTGCCTAGGCTTAGGTGCAACTCGTTTCGGGTGTGACGTCGCCCTAGCGGCAATAAATGCCAGGGAGAAGGATAGTATTCCGGATCGCCTTTCCGTCTCTGTAATTGGAGCTCAATTGTTGATATGACTATTTTGAATTAGCAGAGTTGTTTTTCGAAAAATCGAAAACCCCTATGTCGAGTTTGTAAATGTATGTTTGGTCGGAATACACGAGCTCATGTGCGAGGTGCGGATAGACCTGTTTGTTACGGGTTGGGAAGTAAATTAGGGTATAGTAGTTTGATCTGATGGAGCCGTCTATGGAGACGTCCTAAACTCGTTATTTCCATGTATCATTGCAACGAATCGGGTTTTTTTTTATAAACTGTCAGGGAATGAGAGAAATAGAAGTGACTGATTCACTTGGCCCTTTTCCACGGCGACTGAATAGGTTTTTGAGTCGGTACAAAATCAAACTGTATTACGGAATTTAGATAAGCGGCAATTGCTCATGATACTTCATGAAATCAGCGCAACGTCCTTGTGATTCTAATGTTCAGTTATTGCTTATTCCAACATTTCGATGTATAGTGTACCTGTTCAGACATTTGTTTAATAACTACGTATAACATAAAGTTGATTTGATGGAAATTTGAATCAATGATAACAATCCTAAGGCTATACGAAATTACTCTAGCGCATCTTTCCACGGGGAAACCCAGAGTTAATTTACAATATATATATATATATATAGATGTGTGCGTAATAGTGTAACATTAGTCGTTTCAAGTAAGCATGCCTATATCGAAAAGACGCTGATCTGTCTATTATTGGGCGACGATATTGCGCAGAATGAGGAAGTTTCATTGCTTATATTTTTTTTGTATCATTAAGTTATCAGTTAATTTTATTTTCATTAGTGTTCGTGTAGCATTCGTGGTCACATTCTGATTCATTGAATGCATCGGTGTGAAAAAGAACTGGTGTTCGATAAAAACTACAGGTTACCTTGTGCCTAGCTATGCTTTAATGTTTGATAGAGTCAAGGGTGTGATGTAAACTCTCAGTTAATAGCTTTTGATCCAACATAGACCTTTTGTTACCTAATGTACAAAAATGTGTGGCTACCGTTGATCGTCAGGAAAAGCCTGGAGGGGCTTTAAGAATTATTAAATGCTTTTGCTGTAAACTTATTTATTGAATATTCATGAGGTATCTACATGGCTACATACGAAAGTAGCCAGTATTTTTTGGTCCTCGGTTATTACTGGGATTTGCATCAAATGTAATACTGATGTCGCTAAGCTTTCCAAATCATCCTATGATCTCACTGCACGCGGTAGATATTTTCATAAAAGAAATTGGTCACGTGTTTCGAACGTGAAACATTTTCAACATTCAAACAGAATAGATATAGACGTTCGCTAATTTTATTACTATTATATTATTTTTAATGTTCCGCAGATTAAAGGAGGTTGCCGATAAGCTTCGTCGTTCAGCGTATTCGCCGCCATCATTTTTGCACAAATTTTCGTCCTGCTCGGTCGTACAATGCGTCGTAGGACCGTCGCATCTTGGCTTTCTGCTTGATGATGGACGCGTATGTCGTGTGGCCTATTCGTTGCTTTCCGACAGTCTCGACCTTAGTAAAGGTCCAAGCGACGGTGCCCCAGGTGGAGGCAATAACAATGGATCGAATAAAGGGTAAGTGTTGTTGCTCTAAATTCAGGGTTGGAATTCAGTTTTATGTACTTTTCCGTCAATGCTAGCACCATTTATAAAAGATGTTTCTCAAGTACGAAATCTGTTGAGCCATTTTAGGTAGCTGACAAGTAACCAGATAGAACAAATTGATTAAAGTTATCTGTGATGTCCTTAAGAGCATTTATACAAGTATTGTAGCCCATTACATAAAACTTGATAGTTGCAACAGTGGTGATGATTAAAGCGCCAGTAATGATCTATATGATTATATTTTCACAGAACAAATTCAAGCACATTTCATAGAATATTAAAAAAGTATTATTTGCAACTTTATGTATAGATATCTCACCTACCTCACGAAGCCAGCTTGGGACAACTATCAGTGTAATCTTTAATTTGCAGAAAAAAAAGCAGATAATTTGTCAAACAATGCTAAATAAATGCTTTGTTGTGTTCTAAATGTATTTGATGTTCCTTACCGCAGGTCAAATTCACAGGCTGCCGGCGGAGGCAATTCGGCTAGTGGTGCAGCTTCATCGGGCTCGTCAAAAGTGAAACGCACGGCCCGCATATCGACGGGCGGCTATAGACCTGGCTCTTCCGGCCGAATGGTGATGGGCAGCCGTTCAGTGGTGCCAGCAACTTACGTGCCTGAGGAGCTGGTCACTCAGGCACAGGTTGTACTTCAAGGCAAGAGCCGTCACCTAATTATCCGCGAACTGCAGAGAACGGTACGCTATGAGCAGTTCCTATATAATTTTTTTTATTCACACATGTTGTGAAGCGATCCTGGATTTCTTTCAACCAAAAGCTTAGTCACTTAAGCCACCGCGTCGACAATTCCATATAATAAAGTATATTTCGTACTTATTCGTTTGTTTCTTTTTGACTGCATGAAATAATATGAGGGCGTTCAGCATAACCATTTATTATTTTATTACAGTCCTCATATCGGTTAACTCATAGAGAAGGCTTTTACCAATCGCATCAGGTTTCATTAAAAAAATGGAATCGTTGCTACCTGATTACTTGGGATTGGGAATAAACTAAATGTTCAATAAATTGTTCTCACATGTTACAGAATCTGGACGTGAACTTGGCTGTCAACAATCTTTTGTCCCGAGACGACGAGGAGGGCGAGGATGCATCAATGAATGAAGATGGAGCTGGCGGGGAGAGTTTTGTCAGTGAGGACCTGATGTCGTTATTGGATGCAGGTGGAGCGATGGGGGGTCATCAGGAGCATCAGCATCCCGCGCACCACGGAGTTCATCCCGGCCATCATCCTTCTGTGATTATCGACCCAGATGCCATGTTTTCCGAAGATATGTTTGGATCTCCTGGTTCTTCAGCAGGTTTTAGTCGACGTGGCACGCGTGGAAGTTCCTCGAAGGGTTCAGCGGGAGGAGACAACCACAATAATCCGTTTCTTCGAGCGAATCGAGAAAGTAGACAGATGGGCTCGGGTGGCGGATCTTCACGGAAGTGGTTAGATTCAGCTCTCAAAGACTCTAGCAGTGACAGTGCTGACTTAAGCGCTGCCGGAGGCCCTGGGGCTAGTAAAAAAGCCAAGAATCCCGTATGGATCAGCGAAGACGTGGAGTTTTGGCCTGGCAACACAAAATTCGTCCATATCATTTCTCTGTATTCAGAGCTGTGTGCTCTTAGCACAACAGGACAACTGCATCAGTGGCGATGGTGGAGCTGTGAACCGTTTCGAGGTGATATGAACACAATCGTATTTCATCCGAAAACCATCACCCTCAATTTGTTACACGAGCGAATATCGATGCTTGATGGCAGATGTGCAAGAGCTTCCGTGGTGACGGAATCGGGAAAAGTGGCAACTTTCGTCGACGAAAGTTTAGGACCAGTGGCCTTCCGTTTGGAACAACAGGCAACATTATTCAACGAGTTCCAGGGAGAGCGAATTTTATCTATTCACGTTTGCTCATTGTATTCGTGCGTTCGCCTGGAGAGCGGCGGTATCTACTGGTGGGGTGTATTGCCATTTAGCCAACGAAAAAAGATCTGGGAACGGATGTGTCAACGTTCAAAGCAAAGTAAAGGTGCATCTGCTGGGCACGGCGCCGAGATCGCCGTCGATGCTCAGGTCTGTATGCGTTATAGTCCAGTATATCACCCAGGAGCGCTGGCTTTTACGACCGCCAACGGACAACCAAGGGTTGGTCAATTGCTGGCCGCCGCTTGGAATCTACCTGACTCATGTCAGTTCAAAATAATCGCGCCGAAAGCACCGCCTATAAGCGGAAGTACCAGTGGAGGGGGTCCCTCAGAACGTCAGAGCAGCCAGTCTCCTGCCGATGTTGGGGGTAGTGATCGCACCGAAATGCCACCCCCTCCATCGCCAGCTTCATCAACCTGCAGTGAGCCATCGCCGCACAGCCCGATGTCGCACAGTACGTGACAATTCTTTAATATCTAAAAGGTCTCTTGGACTGCATTGTAATCACAGAACTTGTAACCTTCGATTTCAAACAGGCTTTTACATAAGATTTTTATTCGGTGAATGTCTAACTTCTTATCATATTCTAATTCAATGAACCACAAGTAATCTCATCTCTTATCGTAGGTTTATTACTAGCTCTAATTTTATCATTTTCGTATCCTGCACAGAGCGTAAAAAACCCGCCCGGGCAGATGATTGCGACAGGACAGAAGAAGAAGAATGGGCACTGAAAGACGTCGTGTTTGTAGAAGACGTCAAGAACGTGCCGATTGGTCGAGTAGTCAAAGTGGACGGACTCTATGTCGCTGTGAAATTCCCGTCAAAAGAGGGCAATTCTGGTGGCGGAGACCGCGACAAGACTAGTGGTGATGGCAAAGACGACCCCTTGTCGGACTGTCGTTTGATGCGCAAAGATGAGGTACAGGTCGTTCGAGGAGGGGGTTCAGCAGCTTCGACACGCACCCTTGACTGTTTGCAGAAAACGCCAAAACGGGTCGCGTTCCCAGATAACGCCGTGCAAATCCTTTCGATGGCAGTTGATCCTCGTGGTATTCATGTCGTTGTTCGAGGTCGCAAGTCAAATCAACTGCGTTACTGCGTCCACAATGTAGCTACGGGTCGTGCTGAGCAAGACGCTGCCTTCCCGATACATACAGCTAGTTTCCTCGCTGCCGATGTTGGTCAGGTGGCATTGAGTGTTAATGGTGAAAATGAATCATTGTCATTGTTACGTGACGGGAACGCCTGCCTGTTCCCTTTGGCTCACGATTGTGTAGCGGCCATCCGCGATCCGGTCTGGCTTAATCTACCTCCCGTTCGTGCTATGGGAATGGGTCTGCAAGCGTTGCGCGACGTCGCTCACAACCAGAAAAGCCAAGTGGCAGTAATTACGCTTCTGCTTGAACCACAAACGGTGATGTCAGCCATCTTTAAGGGTAATGCAGAAGCAGTATGCCAGCTGTTGAGTAATGCGAAACGGGACATGGATTCTGAAGGAGACGTGTCTGCTCTTCGAGCTATCCTCAGCGAACGCTGTGATGGTAATCGCAATATTCTGCATGCTGCTGTCAGCGTGTCCGTACCTACATCGAACAAAAGCAACGATGGGGAGCAGGCGCCGTACGATGCTCTCGATCTCCTACAGACATCGTCGGGCGCTACGGGAAACAACCAACCGTTAAACAGCAGGAAGTAAGTTATGCAAGAATGCCATCAAAGTCTCAGCACTCATTATTGCTTTTATTAAATAGGATTCACTTGCGTATTTAGTCACAGCTACAAAGGACTTAGTAATTCTGCAACTTCTCCTCCGTTTTGTAAATGTTACATTTGTCTTATCACAGTATCACGCACGTCAAATACTAGTCGTGCGCTAAAGGACATTATCTATGCTTGCTTAAAAACGACGTAGTTTTAAAAAAACATGTACGTGTGTGTTCACTTAGATCGTCTAAACGATGTTTCAGCATTTCGCTGTCAGAGATGATGCGACGCGCTCACGGAGAACCGGCAGATCTTGCCGGCGGTGTTGGTGGAGGCGGTATACAAGATTCTGATAATGAATTCCACTTGGGGTCAAGTGCGCGGGTGTCGTGGGGTCCGAACGAAGATGGCGTCCATGTTGCGGACGGACATCCACTGGGCCATCACGCCACTGATGGTCTCGGCCACGGAGTGGGCTCTGGCGTTGGTATCGGAGTCGGTGAATTAGGTGTTGCTGGACAAGGAGCTGGTTCAGCCGCCCACGCCGGAGCTCTTGAACTTGCTAAAAGCCAGCGAGGAATTGCGCCTTTATTAGCGCTTTTGCAAGCATCGGTGTTACGTCCTCATTTACATGAACTTTTATGCGCTCGTGACGCAACTGGTCAAACACCATTCATGACTGCTGTTTCCTGCAGGGCATACCATGCGGCTCTACTTTTGTTAGATGCTGCCCAAAGGTTAGTTTCTTGGGAAAAAATATACTAATGCTAGCGAGTAGAGTATTTTTTTGTAACGCAATATATTAGTGGCATATTTTCGTAGACATTGTTTAATTTACGCGAATTAAAACGTAGGGCAAAGCGCTTTTAGGTGTCAAATACAAATATTGACGAATTTTATATCCGATGCTAATTGCACATGTTAGGTCAATGTGAATTCTCTTCCTCGATAATTATAAACAAAAAATTCTCAAATGAAGTCATTATAATCGAAGTGCATATATGCCAACTGTAAATTTAGGTATTTGGCAAAATCACTTATAAATCCATGTTAAATGATCTCACATCAGGTGCAGCGAAAATTCCCGTGTAGCTCTACGGCAGATGATCTATCCCGTGGATGCACCGGCCGAAGACTCGCCATTGCATGTCCTCTGCTCCAACGATACCTGCTCTTTTACTTGGACAGGGGCACAACACATTACGCAAAGCATTTTCGAGTGTCGCACCTGCGGTTTAACTGGAACCCTATGTTGCTGTTCGGAATGCGCTCGCGTATGTCACCGTGGCCACGACTGCAAACTAAAACGTGCATCTCCTACGGCGTACTGTGACTGCTGGGAAAAATGTCGCTGCCGAGCGCTTGTTCAGGGAAGCCAACAAGCCCGTGTGCAGCTTCTCAACAGACTCATTCATGAAACCGATCTTGCTACGCTACCGAACGGAAAGTAAGTACGAGGATAATCAAGTATTTAGAAACGCCATTTTCACTGAAATAGCTTCGGCTGTGAGTCAACGAGATCCGTTGTACTGTAACATTTCTATCCAAATTAGCATAAAGGTAATTGAAGTAAAGCGCTTACTTGCTGCGAAACTGTTGTGGAAAACTGCAGTTCAACTAACCTGGACTTCATGTGATAAATCTTCGATGCTGATAGTGTTCCTCGTTTATTCTTGCCTTTTACAGAGGCGAAACGATTTTACTATTCCTTGTGCAAACGGTTGGCCGGCAAAGTGTAGAGCAACGTCAATATCGTCCATCTCGATCGCGTAATCAGCCCCCACGCAAGGTGACGGGTACCGGGGCAGAGTCTAGCGGCGGCAATCATGACATGCCGGACCATGATCTCGATCCTCCGAAATTCGCACGCCGTGCTTTGGATCGCATGTTACGAGACTGGCCAGCTGTACGTGCTGCTTTGATGGCTGGTGATCACCGTTTACAAACGAGCACCTCTGAAGAAGGCCCCCTAACAGCACAAGCCGGCGCCACCCTTCTTGATAAGTTTGTGCAAAGCCTTCTCGTCAAATGCTCAATGGAAATGCTAGATACTCTCCTGGCTACGCTCATCCAACAAATGTACCACGATCGCGATTCGGGGAGTTCAGCGGCAGCGGTGGTGACATTGTGTCAACCTGGACCGTCGACGTCTTCCGGCTCCAGCGTTGGACCACCACCGACAGAATCCCGTGTCGTGGCGGTCCGTTTCGTTCGCTCAGTTGTGCGTCTCTTTACTGTTCTGGCTGCTGAGATGTCGCCGAATCCCAATCGGCGGAAGTCTAGACCGGTCATGTTCAGCTTGTCTGGCGCTTCGTCACAACCAATTCTCAAATGCAAACGCGTCTTCCAGGCCTTGCTGCCTCTGTCGATCCGAGAATTAGTCGACGCGGCGGTATCGCTGATGACACCTGTACGACTGGGCGTCGCGCGACCCACCGCACATTTCTCATTACTAGCCACGTGTTTAGACGCCATCAATGGCAGTGAGGAACTTTTCCTTGTTGATCCGCCTGTACTTAATAGTACGGCGCCGCTTGCTGATGATCTATCGGGGCAAGGAGCTGGCGACCTTCGCAATCTAAGTAGTGCTGAACAGGACGAGTCTAGTGATCCTGCGGTTTCGAATAGACAGCGATCAGGCTTACCGCCACGTTCCCTGCCTTCATCGTTGGGCGCAGCGCCGGGCTCTTCAAATTCGGCAGGACCATCACATTCTGGCGCCGGTGGATCGGGAACTCCAATAAGAGACGCGGGTGGCCCACAGGAGAGCGACTCGGAGAGTGAGAGCGAACGTGATGAAGACGCTTTGTCGGTGTTGTCCATCTCCGAGGTTCGAGGAGGTCATCACTCGAGCAGCCAGGACAGGCAGGCGCCGGCCGGAAACGAAGCAGGCAAGTTGTAGATCGTTATGAATGGGTGCTTGCGCCTTTATCGAATCAGACTTGTGTATATTGAACGAAGTATTGGTGCGGCTAGTTATAGGTTAATCATTGGGACTTCGGCTGATCTGACCAGTCTGCATTATGTGTTATCAGATTAACTACATGGATGTTATTGGGGAGTAGTGAACTGTTACTGTTGTGGTCTGCTTTCTGAGTATTTAATCCTTGATCCCAAAAGTGATTATCTGAAGCTTTTGAAGGTAGATTTAATTACCTTGAAAAACACGGTCCGTTTTCAGACGATGACTCGACAGGGGAGACATCCGGAGCCGAGGGTGAAGAAGATAGCGATGCAGGCGATACAGAAGAGCAGGACAATGATGACGGGGAGCACACGGACGAACCCTTGGAGAGGTAGGCATTTGTCTATGCTCCAATCCTCAAGCTGCAATAATTTTTTAATCTTAAGAAAAACTGGAGCTACGGCATCGATGTCTAATAGTTTTTACAGTTACCAATGCGCTGTTAATTCTGTTTGTCTCTCAACTTCTCTCAGATAAGACTTAACAATCTTTTGTTATAATATTTGATCATTCATGTAGCAACAAATAGGAAGAACGTTAAGCATCTCTATAATTAACGTATGATTCTTTGAAATCTTGCAGACGTCCAAGTGGTTCGATGGGCCGCAACAACAACTCTCCTACGTACCTAGCGCCCCCTCACCTTCAGTGGGCTGTCAGAAGTCGCTCCGAACTTGTTTATGCAGCTGGAGTATCAGCATCCACTGGTACCACAAATACAATCCTTAGTAAGTATTTACAACCTTCTGGTACAAACCATTTTTGGCATTGTCGCATATCTGTTGTAACAATTACTTGTTGGACGAAAATGTGATATATAGATAAATATATCGGGCTAACAGCATGAAGCAATCAGAGTTACACATATTAATTGGCATGAATATTATCGCCGACGAAAACCAGTTGTCGTCAGAAATGACTAAGAGAAGCAAGCACTATCATTTGTCAACAGTTACACTTGCGATTTACTTAACGAGTAATTAGCGATCAATAATTATTGCCTAATGACTACACGATTTACTTGCTGTTTCTAGCTGCTTCGGTACCACTGGCAAATGGTTTGGTGTACATCGACGCGAATTCTCTGCGTCGGTCTACAGGGAATTCATCATCCGCTTCTTCGTCGGCGTCAGCTGTCGCCCTCACGGCTGCCGCCGCTGCCGGAGTTCATGGCGACGGTGGGGTGCCTTCTGTCACCAATACAAACGTAGGGCTAGCTCGTACTTTCGGCGCGTTGATTCGTCAGCTTACAGACTTACTAGCTGTTCTCGATGAGTCAACAGGGGCTCGCTATTTAGTTCCGGGCTTACTCAAAGTCCCTCCTGAGGTGCTATCACCAGAACATTTGCCGAGCCTTTACGAACTAGTCGAATCTGCTCTAAAACCAACCTGGAACTGGTTCATGACCGTTATGGATTCTACAGAGGGACAGTTGCGCTTTGGATGCGCTCTCAACAAGCGACTCACCGGAGGCGCAGCATCTGCTGGTGGTCAGGGCATTTCGGGACAAGGAACACGAAACTCAGGAGCGGGGTCGTCCCGAACAGGAGGCGATAACGGCGAGTCGCGTCGTCGCAGCAAAATTGAATCAGCCGCACGGAGAGATTTCCTCTCGTACACGCTGTCCTTACTTCGAGCTCAATCGTCAGAACATTTGGACACGTTGCCAATCATTGATGTTGCATCCCTTAAGCATATCGCGTAAGTATCGATGAATACATTTTTTGAAAGAAATTTGGCTGTATGCGTAACACACATAGGTTAGTCTTGTAACGCCAACCCTTTACATTTCGCTGATGGTGTTATGGCTATTACAACTAATATTTTCTATGCGCTCGGCAGTTACGTCTTCGACTCAATGATTTACTATTTGCGCTGTGGAAACAATGGATCGTCAACAAGCAGTGCTGAAGGCACCGACCTTAGTGACGTGATGCGGGAAGGATCGATCTCATTAGACCCTTGGTTGGACAATGAACAGGATATGGTTGATACGGACACGGAAGAGAAGCCTTTTGGAACATCGACCGACAGGCCATCGGGCGACTCTCAAAGTAATGGCAAGCAGACCGTACACGCTGGGAGAAAACACAGTTTCTTCCAACGATCGGACTCTACTCTTTGTTTGGGTTGTATACCACCTCCAGATCCGTTTGCTACGCCACTTGCCGAAGCACTGCCGCTAGCCGAACGACCGCAATTGCTCACGCCAGCTGCTACCCGACTAGATCTGTTTGGACCACCGTCGAGATTTGCATCTGGAAGCGATGGAAATAACCGACGCGATTCAGCAGCCCAGTTGAGGCCCTCGCTTCGTACGGCCTTGGAAGATGATGCCAGTTGGCCGCGAGTCACTGTAGGGGCACGGCAACAGAACACCGGCAACGAAAGGAGTCAGCGACAGCAGGGGCAAGGCCAGCCCCACGATGCGCTTCTGAGCCGTTGGCATCTAACGCTGGAGCTGTTCGGTAGGGTGTTCGTTGATGACGTGGGTGCCGAACCTGGCTCCATCATTTCGGAGCTCGGCGGGTTTCCTGTCAAAGAAGCTCGTTTCCGTCGAGACATGGAAAAGCTCCGCGGTTCACAGCAGCGAGATTTGTCACTGGCCAAAATGGAACGTGAACGAGGCGCACTTCTGCAACTCACGTTCCGCGAACTAAACCAACAGTACACGAATAACAGCCGCCGCTCAATGGGAGGCACTCCTCCTCTCGCCATTAGTAGAGTTAAAGTGATTTTCCGAGACGAACCTGGTGAGGGATCAGGAGTTGCACGCTCATTTTACGCGTCGTTTGCTGAAGCCGTGCTAGCTAACGATAACATTCCTAATCTTGAGGGCTGTCAAACTGGAAACCGTACATTACAATACAGTGAGTAAGCCTATGCGACTTCGAAATCTATACCGGAGCTCGTTTGATTTTTTCTGCTCTTAGAGATGTCAGTACAAGGAATCCCTTGTTCTCATGTCATGCGAATTGTTTTTATGTAGTTGTCCTACAGGAAGGTCACTTTAACCTGTTCGCGACAGTTCTCGACGTGCGTTACGTGAGCGTAACTTACTGTTGTCACGTAAAGCGCATATCCCCAATTTATGCCTAATAGAATACATACATACTAATACATAATAACATGTAAATATATAATAGGGTACATAGAAAATAATAGGAAGCAAAGTTAATTGTGCCTATCACCAACTCTTAGAATTTCTGAGAGCCTAGGGTAGCGTAATTATAGAACTACAACAACAAATACCAAGAAAAGTCGCTGTAATCTCAGGCTCGGTTTCAGACCTGATCCAGCGACTAAAGTCTCGCGACAAGGACAAGGAATCGTCCGCAACTGGACGATCCAGCGGCGGCTCGTCACGCGCAGTTGGCCCATCGGGGTCGATGCTTCGAGTCGAAGCTCCCGCGTTCGCCATGGCCACTTCTGGCGAACCTAGCCAAGGAAACGACCAATTATCACCACATCGTAAACAGCTCGGAGCCCGTCTGTACCCTCGTGTCCAAGCGTTACGACCACTTCTTGCAGCAAAGATCACAGGCATGCTTCTTGAACAGTCCGCAACTCAGTTGATTCTTCTCCTAACATCGGAAGAGTCACTCAAACAGCGGGTCGACGAGTGCGTCGACTTGATCGCTTCCAACAAATGGTACGTATGGAAGACATAGCCGGTTGCATGTCTACTTAAAGGTAAAGGGTTTTTTTAAGGCAGCAGCCCGGTAAGTTTCTAAAAAGAGAACCCGGAACACGACCTCGTTCTATAAAATTCAGCTTAGGACTACTTAGTTTGGGTTCTAGGTAATAATATCGGCTCGAAACCCTGTTAGAAGGACTGATATTTATGTACTGAACAGCAATTTGCAATAACAGTTTCATATTGTGGTTACCATTTTCCATCACAGTGCTGTCAAGCTGGAACCGTTGGATCTCAACGAGGCTGGCACATCGAGCGCGCTTGGCGAGCCCATGGACGCGGTGCCGTGTGAAGACAATTCGCCTTTCTTCTATCAACCTGGTAAGACCGGTTTTTATTCTCCGCGCCAAGGCAAGTGTACACCGGAACGACTGAACGCGTTCAGAAACATAGGACGCGTGATGGGCCTATGCCTACTACAGAATGAGCTGTGTCCAATCCCACTAAGTCGTCATGTGTTGAAGTACATACTAAATCGGCGAATTGGGTGGCACGATCTCGCGTTTTTTGATCCTGTGTTGTATGAAAGCTTGCGTCAAATTCTCTTCGAAGCTGGGGATAACAAAGATAACAATAAAGAGGAGGTAATCGCCGCCCTCGATCTGACGTTTACGATCGATCTAGGTCAGGAGGAAGGTGGGGACACCGTCGAGCTAATACCTGACGGTCGAAATACGCATGTCACTGTACACAATGTCTACGACTATGTCCGTCGGTACGCAGAATACCGTATGGTTAAGTCACAGGAACGAGCTCTCGAAGCGCTGCGAACGGGTGTGTTCGATGTCCTACTAAACAATAGCCTTGAAGGATTAACGGCGGAAGATCTTAGACTTTTGTTGAACGGCGTACCGGAAGTAAACGTACAGAGTCTCATCTCCTATACGAGCTTCATCGATGAAGGTAAAGAAAGCACAGAACGGACGGTGCGTTTCAAAAAATGGTTTTGGTCCATCATGGAAAAAATGACCTCTAGAGAACGGCAAGATCTTGTTTACTTCTGGACGGGTTCTCCTGCGTTACCTGCGTCGGAGGAAGGATTCCAGCCGATGCCGACGATCACATTACGCCCACCAGACGACCAGCATCTTCCCAGCGCTAACACCTGTATTTCTCGTCTTTACCTTCCGATTTATTCGTCGAAACACATCCTTCGATCAAAACTGTTACTCGCTGTGAAGACCAAAAACTTCGGTTTTGTTTGAGTGTTTCGGTACAAGACAAAAATCCGGGAACTGTTTAATTCGTTCAAATTTGTACTGCGTATTTCAGAGGACAACTATCGTTTTCGAATCCTTAGTTGGTAATCATTACGTTAACGTAGTTGTGCACTAGATTGGCATTTCAGAAGTTTCGTAAAAAGCTTCTTGAGAACTAAACAGGTAATGATGACATCAAATATATAAATATGGAACAATTTAGTTTAACGGAGAATACATGAGGTTGTCTGAGCGAGAACGAATATTGCCTCAACGTTCACTTTCGACAGAAGGGAAGCACGACCGTATTAAATAATGTTATTATTTACTTTTTGGAAGACGATAATTATGGACTAATGATAACAATAATAGGAAAAAAGAAGGATAGTGATGGTGATGATGACGATGGTAAGAAAACATAACCGTTTCACTAAATGGTGACCAAATGAAGATATAGCTTGCAATGTGATTGAAGCTGAATAAGCTTTTTCTTAAAATATCTCAAAAGTCGACGAGACAAGTGTAAATAAAGACAACATGTTTGCTATCAATTCTTTTATCCCTTCTTATTAATATACACGTAATAACGTTAATACGCGTTAATATACACGGTACACCAAACTATTCGTCGTTTGAAGGGCCGAAATATTTGAATCCTTCTCGTTTGTCTCTTTTATGATAAATGCTATAATTTAGCCACATATGACAGCAAGATCAATTCTTCCACTATCATAAGTATCGTCGTTACGGCATAGCCGTTACAGTATAGTTGTGCAGCTTTGTCTTTTCGTCACGATTGCGGAAAAACGATTCACTTTTCCAAGCAGCAATATCACTAGACCTATTACACACAGGTACTAATGTGATATCGCGGTGGGTAACTTGTTCGTTCGTCTAAGTTGAAGACACGCAACGGTCTAGGCTGAAATTCAGGCATAGACACATATTTTTTGCCGGATGCCAGGCATCTGAAGTAGTGCCTAACTGTTAAAACAATGACCGTAAAACACGAAAAATATTCGGTTTCAAAATATTCAGATAATAATGGTTTCAAACTTAGGTATTTTGCTACGCTTAGCGGTGGCAACTCACTGGCTAACAACGAGTAGTCTTACAAAGTTTTAAGCTGCTAAAACTTAGCACTGCTACTACTAGGCGTCCGCTAAGATGCAAGAATATCTAAGTAGTATAACGTATTATCAGGAATTTTCTTCAGAACTTCTAAACTTTATAAACGAGATGTCAATTCAATTAGCCATGCCCCAAAATAAAGATGCGCAATGCTTATCGTTAAAATCAATAACATTAAAAATGGTATTGTTTTGTGGACGGGTGAGTTCATCGGCTAGTCACACGAACATGGTAGCGACCATAAATATATTCAAGTATGAACTCTTCTTTATCAGTTACTTTGATAACTCGAGCCGAAATGTAATTAACAATATTGCGACAGTTATAGGATAATTAGAACAAACTCGTCAAGCTCGGCATAGTATTTTGAGCAACTGTTTCAAAGACTAGGTAGAACTCTAAGAAAAAGATAGCTAGATGTACCGATAGCGCATATTTGACTCGCATTTTATATTTACTGCCATTTTACATAGCTAAAATTGAAATTGAAGCTCAAGAGGTGTTTTCAAACAACTACAAGCAATAAGGTACGCATGAAATGAAAGAGGTCATCGCGATATAGGTTCACGTCTTTATTCTATCCGCGTTGACAGAATTACTCACAGAATTACTCAGAGACCTTTCAACGAATTGTACGATTAGTAAGTCACACGGTGATTGCGGATTGAGCACGGTAAGATTCGACTTCGTGGATGTCAGAGGAATTTATCTTATGACCCTTCAAGTGTTCATACGATTGAACAGTGGCAACGTTCTTTAGCTGTAGAAGTCAAGGGTGAAAGCGGAATCCTATATGTTTCGAGTTTTACATCCGGTACTGCTGTTGAGTAACGCTTCAGGCAGTTGGTTTCCAGTTTGAAACAAAATTCGTTTATGCTTAATTTCTAGTCTATACAACTTCACGCGTTTCAAAGTGTTGCGGGCAAACACCTTAGTACAACCCCATGGCGGGCACGAAAACGAAAGCTAGACACAATTGGGTATACTGAGAAAGACTAATACCGTTCCAATATGTCTAGCAAACTATTCAATCATTGGTCAGTAGTGTAACGTCCAAGTCTACGAATGGCACGACAGCTCTGTAATCGCATTTAGTGACGGGGTTGTTTGTTTATGGCCGATATTATACGTGCCGCTGACGAGCTTTATGTTTCTTGGTAGGCATATCGCAACCCGACAATGTAAACGTAGAACTTTTTAAGTCTAGGCTTTCTCTTTTTCCAAAACGTTTTTTTTTTTAAATAAAGCTTTTAAGAATTTTATTCCTTTCCTTATATTAAAAAACATATACAATTGTTAAAAAAAAAAGGTAGTATAATGAGGTAAACGGCTTTCATCGTGAAGACAAGGAAAAAAGCTATGATAGGTACAATTGTACACCTAGAGAGACATAGTTTTTAAGCAGGGTAGATCCCTTTTTAATAAACGTAATGCTTAATTTGCGAGTGACTGACCTTAAGTCGTTCAGAGCGTATGTGGAGATCTAACCCTGCGTTTGTGACTGTACTTGCTTATAAAGATAGTAGAATAAACAACAGTGTACCAGTATGAATGATAAAACACTTGCTGTTTCCTAATGAACTGCAAATCTTATGCGCACAAACAGCTATTGCGTTTATAAACAGACATTTTTGGGAAATTAATTTTTTTTAAATATTTTAATAATCATAGCCCAAATGCTTAGATAAACAAATCTGTTAACAGAAACTGGAAACTTCAGTGTGCTTTCACTAAATTTTTCGTATGCCAATATAACAGAATTTTGAAGTGGACACATCGGGAAATTAGGTACATCAGAAATGCCACTATTCAAATAGTGGTGAAGTTTTCGTAGTGCTTTTTTGCCCTGTTTGTTCTATATTACATAGTAACATACTTTTGTCTTTTCAGCAGCCAAATCCTCGATCTTAATAAAGTAAATCACTGATTTCGATTAAACTAACACGTTGATAACTTTGATGGGAAGGCTGATGCAGACATTGAACCCAAGTTGGTGTTCGCTGATATTGATTCGAACACGAAGATTCAGCTAAATAAGGTTCCCAACAGAGAATAACATCCAGGGTGAACTTTTGTGCAATACGCTAGTCCAGCTCATAGAAAGACTTCGACTCCTATGATAGCTTTACTATCTTTATTATGATAGCTACTTTTTTGTTCTGATCTGGTTGATCACATGCAGATTAATGTAACCCTGTATTTGCAAATAGAATCATTATACCTATTTGTCTTCCTAGCGCAGCACATATTTATGAAATATGCCGTTGGCATCTTTTATCATTCAGTCTCGTAATCTACAGTCCTGGGTTTTATTGAACCCAGCCAGCGCGGCTGGACTCCCTCTCGCAGATTAACTGACGAAAATTGAGGTGAGAGAGGGTATACGGACGTCTACATCTAGATCTGTGCGATGCATTCGCTGCGTTGCCAATTAATCTACGCACTCTGACTTACCGCTAAGGCTAAAGGCACTTAAATAGTATATCCCCTGTTAGCTCAGTATCTTTCTCATAATAAAACAGTGGCTTAGAATTTCAAGTACGAATTCTCGAAGCAACGAACAAGTGTAGTGACATTAGTGTTTTCTTTTGGAATTCTAATAACTTCGTTCTATATTTCTGCTGCATCCCGCTAACATCGCATCACTACTTCCGATAATTCATGTAAGAAGAATACTGACAAAAGGCACAAAGGCGGCAAACTGTGCTATATGCGGAAACGCTGTCGTACATCAGTTACTATCGACGCAGTGGCTTGCACCGTTAGGTCTCTGGCCGCGCGAATGTCACATAATAAAAAATCTGCTTGAAGAAAAAAAGAGGTATATAAATGCTGTATTGACGTACGCCTGTAACACCTATAATCCTTTCCATGCAGAGTGCTATTCAATTGTTGGTTATATGAGATGTCACACGCTCCTGCTTTTATTTTTTCCTATTTCGCGAATACGCACAGCGAGACCAAGACTAAATTAGACGTTGACGCTTTGTTCATGCGTTCTAGAAATAAACACAATTAGAATTCTATATATTATAGGATCTAATGCGATCGCCAGTTTCTAGCAGATCAATTGAAAAGATCCGCAAACGAATGAACGAATTCAACGACATCAAACTGGTAATTACTGACGACTGCACAGGTTCGTATCACCAAAATAATATTTTTGTATACTCAATCCTTTCACCTAGAGACCCATAATAAATGCAAAAATGACTGCATTTAACTATACTAGCCAAAGCATAGTCTTAAAGTAAAAAAATTTTTCAAAACAAAATACTAGCAGTTAATGCTTAATGAGAATATAAATTTAGGGAACTAAATGATTAAAACATAATTTAGAAATTTCCATTTTAAACGGCGGTCTCTTAAAGAAGAGTACACCGTCTGGCAATGAAGTCGGCAACAGTGCAGGGCAGGCTTTGGCTGCAGTCGAAACAGAGTCCCACCCGTTAAGTTGTGTGTTTCATAGAATAGTGAAAATGACACACGCACTAGGGTCCAGTTATATTTTGAAACATATTTTCTGAAGCTTGTAAGTGGACAGCAATATTACAAATTGGGACAAGGTTATTCGTCATTTTTCCTATGTAGAAATGGGATTTCTCGTCTATCTAGTTTTACTCTAAATCACGAAAAACTGAACCAAAATGTCCGAGTGCACTTACGTTGATCTTGACATTTTCAAATATTTTGTAGTTTCAAGAAATCTATAAAAATAAACATTGGCAGTTTTCATTAAATTTCTGCAAATTATCAGTTGAATGCACATGGGAAAACCAGGAAGCCAAGTGTAAATAGAAGTATTTCAAGGTTTCGATTTGCAATATATTTATATGACAATTTAAGAAGGAAGTCTTTGATTAGGCTTAGTGCAATAACTCGTGTGAAGAGGCACGATTTATCAAATCTGATTCCAATTATATATAAAACCTATAAAAGGCAACAAAAAATAGTGTTCAGGTCTCAACATTTGCATTTGACATCACTATAAGCATGTTGTCGCTGAATCAATTAGCCACGAGAAAGCCAAATTACTTGAACTTTTCAACTAATTTTTCGACTGGTATATCTTTGCCTTAAATACACTAATAATGGTACTAGTGAATAAGCTAATATTATCAAATCAGCTCGCCGTACACATCAAAATGCCTGTGGTGCTTAAGGTAATTCCCCGTGATAGTTTAGTGGGTAGCGTCTCTGCCTGCCAACCTTAGGCACACATTGTGGTCTAGATTCAAACCCGGGCATAGACACACGGTTTGCGTGCTGGGAGCTAGTCGTCTGACGGAACACCCAAAAGCGATACTGGTGTTAAACTCGAAACCTAGATAACCTTAACATGAACCGGAACAGCCTATCATCAGCATGCCGGTGAACCTGTCTTCGGATGAAGAGAAGGACAGCAGTGCTGGTCCGCGACGCGTCACGGAAACAAGTGGCAATCAATAACCAACCACAGGGCAAGCAGCGCAGTTCGTTTGCTAATTTATTGGCGTGAGTGAAGTTGGAGTACACGCGTTAATGTATTCGATTTGATCTTCATAGAATCCTTTATAATAAGCTTCTAATGGGCGCTCCTATGTTGGGAGGCTTCGACTCTTGAAGGCTGAAAGTAAACAGTTCGGAACGATGGAAAATAGTTTTTAAGACTGTAACAAGCACAGCTGACTCGTATTGAGATGTCAACACCGTGGGGCATAGGAAGCTGTTGTCGAGAGGATAGCGAAGGCTTCCTATCTGTTGTCAGGTCTAAAAAGTGTGTTGTTTAACCTCCCCGTTTTTATTGAAGAGAAAGTACGTTTTTCATGTGTGTCGACCCGCTCTTTCTCCAAGGTATAGCAAACGTAAAGATCAACTAGCATTAATACTAAGGTTTACATTACATGAGATGTTGTTGAACTTCGCAATCACCATCCCACGTTGTGATTACGTTACAATTATTCTATAGTATTTCTTAATGATAATCGACGAGACACTTTGTGTTTGGAAGTGCTTTAACTTATAGTAGTATCAACAGCAAACTTATCTCGCATGCCTTGCTGTGTAAAATATAGAAAACTTGTAGAACATCTAGAATTATTTTTAAATAACATTAAGACAACGATTAGTAGTCGTTCCGGTAGCTTCAAAGTTAGAAAGCTGATTCGCCCGCTGTCGCGTGTTGATATATGGGCAATTAATTTAGTGCTTCAAAAGTTATGTTATATTATAGAATATTAGTAGTTACCTAACTCAATTGGAATCATGCTCAGACATCGAAATGCAATTTTTATATTCAATCTAGTCAATAATTAGTAGAATTTGCTATATATATATATATATATATATATATATATATATATATATATATATATATATATACATAAGATAACAAAAACAGGATTACTAATATATTATTCACTTGATTTTGTATTCAGTTGTATTACACTAACGTGTTATGTACAGTATTATAATATATACATATAAAAAAACACAATCCTCGCGTTCATAAGCGAACGCCTTTTCAGAAAATTTATCGCGCCTTTTTCGACAAACGTTTTGTTGTACCTTATTGCACCATATACACATGTTTATCCTTCTGCTTGGTTAAAAATAATGGTCGATTTGAGTATATCAAACCTGATATACTCAAATCGACCACTATTATTATTATAGATAAATCTATTCGAAGTATATATTTATATATACGGTGGAACAAATGGTCCTGGACAAGACAGTGACTCTTGTCCCATCCTATTATTTTTCCTTATGATTATATATGTAGCTCATTCGCAAAGCCACCTGCAAGTACACAAAAAATAGCGCTCCAAAACCTGCACAGTCTTGGCTAATTGCTTGGGCTTAAATAAATACTCGGTTTTTCTAGCCCATGTGCCGCATTACGTATGGGTACTGAACGTTCCAGCACAATTCTGTTAGCTTTTGGAGTGGGTGCCTTAAATCTTTCTCAAAGCTTAGCAAAGTTAACGCTTGCTTGCAATTATCCTTACTGTCCGATTTCAGTCATCTCATCCTGACCCAATCAACATTGGAAGTGCCACATTCAACACCATTATAGAAGTGATTTTGTCTGTTTTAAATATAGCAAGAAAAACTAAGTGATCTTTATATTTGAATTTCACAAACTTTTACCCCCTGTTGAAGTAGCCAGTTAAAAAAGTTTATTGTCATTACAGTCAGCGTTAAAATCATGAAGATATGTCATTTCAGCCGTTGTGGTTTTTCGTTAGATCAGGCCGACACACAAAATGTACGGTAATTCTTAGAGCTTTTTTGATATGATAAAAGCGTATATGTACAGATACGTAGAGGCCTAGAAGCATAGGATTTCTTATCGTCGTGCCCTAATTGAAATAGGCATTGTTAAAGAACTGCATAGAACAATATCTCGTTCACTAGAGAGAAGATACCTTGCGAATCCAGTATATCAGGGGTTTCATCATATTGTACCGCTAATTAAAATCAAAGTAAAAATCAAGAGGACCTCCATGTGCACAATATAAGTTAGTATATATTGTATATTACAATGTTTTATTCAACGTAAACAGCATTACATCTTTTTAAGAGTTGACCCCCTTGTAGCCTACGGCTAATACAAAACGGAAATAGTTTATTAATACTTTCTCTAAGAGCAGCGGGTTTAGGTGAGGCGTTCCTTTCAGCATTAGCAGCGGGACATGCAATCTTAAATACAATACAAAAAAAAAAACAATACAAGCGAAATACAAAATAAGTGCTTTTTCGAAGTTCGCAACGTTCTTAAATAAAAAAAGGTGGTCAGAAATTGCGCCTCTTAAACCTACCGGGAGCCCATGAGCTTTTCCCTGGCAAAGATGGGTTTCACTTTTTCTATCGACGTTCTGTCATTCTGTAAATCAAAATGCTCGCACATTAAAAAGGAGAGACGATCGATAAATCTGTAGACTAAAAAAACCGTAGATCACAGGGTCACTAATCATTGGAATCGCCATAGAAAATTTTGTATTCCATACTTAAACGACACTAAAGTCAGAGCATAAAATACATGATCGCTATTTTCATCTTTGATCAAGTGCTTTTCATAGAAAGCATTTATTGAGAATCGCTTTGCCCAAAATGCGTGGGAGCACAGTTGGCAGTAAATCATTTAAGCTTTGGTTCGGAGCATCATTTCTTGAAATTTGTCAGCCTACGTAATATGAAAGTTTTTTGATTCGGGGAGTCTATTCCTCCATAAATCTTCATATCGACTGCGTGCTGTGCAACACCCAAGGTGAATTTATCTGAGAAGGGTGCACAGAAGACAGTTTTGCTGTGTGTGAGATTGAGTAATTGTCTACTGAGCTGACAATAGTTCAAAAAAAATCAGAAACACATCCGTCTTAGAAAGGGCTTGTGAAGATCAGAGACGAGAGTACCATGTTTTGCAGCTTTTTGTACTATACCATTGATATAGTAAAATGAAAAAAAAATCAGGCCCTTTTAGCAAAGTGCGCTATGGATATATATAATGCAAGTAGTCATGTTTGTGCCAGCGAGACCCCGATACGTTCAGGCACCTCAATTACAACACAAATGCGTCAATTTGTGTATATATGAAACTGTAGAATATGAAGTTTTAGTGTACCGTAGCCGTGCAGCATCATTTTCAACCGGATCAAAAAAACAATGTCATTATTTTTCTTATAAATAAAATTTATTGTAGGTTAGAACCAGGAGATCCTAGGTACGATTCGATATACATAGACATAGCGATGCATTAATATGGACCTATTTTAAAGCAAATATGCTTATAGTACGGCATTGAATTAAGTTAATAATAAGAACAGATTCTTGGGTTTCATTTTTGGTTTTGTGATCAGAATAACAGGTAATTCTTGTGTCTAAATGGGACATCGTTGCCGATTCTCAATGTCGATCTATCGTTACTTAGAATGCAGAAGTTACCTACGATATTCCTGGAACGTTTGCGCAACACCTGATCGTATACCACGCAAACTAACAAACACACAATCAAACATTTCTGCGATGTATTCACTCAGGTAGCATGAGTTTAATGGACCGATACTTTACTTTTATTTTTAAATGCTAACCCCATTGTCATTGCCGCAATATAAATTAACGAGCCAATAGCGTTATATCATCTGCTAGTCAACCTAATTTGCTATGAAATGGTACAAAAACAAGCACGTAAACAGCCTTTGGTTATATTATCTTCGCTGGAAACAAAATATGTAATTGTATCACACAATATATATATATATATATATATATATATATATATATATATTACTACAGATGTTCTACGAATAAAAACTCTAATCTAACCATGAATATCGACGATGCGTTACTGCATAACAGTCTTTTCATCATGCTAGGACGGTGAATGGAGTCCCTGGAGAATACCTATGCTTGCGATAAATGTAAAGGATTTACCATGAAAGAATGATGTTTCATTACAGTGGCAGGTCTCCCTATGATGTTCAATACATATAAAGAGTAAACCTGTGACACATAAATACGGGATTCCTCAGCGATGCTCACTAAACCCATGCTAATATATTTTATGAATTTGCTTACTTGAAGTTAGCACAATCGGAAAATATACCGGGGTGAGAACAGACACATCACGCGCGCCACAGAAAAGCACTTTGAACATAATAACTATCATTTCGTTAACGGATTCACCCGTTTCCGGCTGCAGGAAGCTTCTTGAGGATTTTCAGCAATGCGTATATACAACTGAATTGAAACTGGTTTGCTAAGCTCGTAGCTAATTATTGCACTACGCCATCGTAGAGCTTTAATATTACTTTGTACATGTCATATAAACAGGAGTGTCTTATATAAATATTAGTATTCTTGTCGTCTGCTTGACGCAACCATCTTTGCGTTGTTGTACTGATTTGTTTTGAAGAAAAGTAACTATTTTTGACTTTCACCTTTGAACTGCGTCGACAGCTTGAACACTTGACATCGGCAAGAAATCCGATAGTCGTACCTGGTATGGGATCTTTTTGCGTATTATTTTCTGCAATATCCAGTCCACTGTGTGACCCTCTTCGCAAACCAATGTCACAGCTAACCGGTCCGGTTTGTCGGTGTAATAGCGTTCAGACACGCGGGTACCGCATTCGCAGCAGAATTTCATCGTATCGAGAATGTTTTGTCGTGACATAACGAAACGATCGTCCGGGCATGGCAGGGTGCGAGTCATTCGCGGACGTTTGGCCAGCTCAGAAGATCCATCTGTCTGCTCATCGTCAAGGTCGAGATCGGCTGAAAACTCATTTGCTGTATCGTCTTCTACGGACTCGCCATCGTCTGGGACTATCTTCTCTTCTGATTCCATAACGCAGTCTGTATCAGCGTCGAACACACTCTGTTCAACGACTTCATCGGTCGCCTCCGTTTTAAACACATACGATGCCTGGTCGTCTACCTGCGATGGAGTGTCTTGATACACAGGCTCACAGCTCGCACAGTCATTGTTCCCTACATCCACGTCCTTCGGTTCCTCCTTTACTCTCACGGGAGCTAGGTTTTGAATGGCAGTCACTGCAGCATGAATTCGTGTGCGTGCATCAGTGGGCACCGTTGTTGTCGATACATGAGTACGAATTGCGCTTGCAACAACAGCGGTCTTGCTGGGAGTGGCTGCACTAATTGATGTCATTGTAGGTCCAGTAGGTTTTGCTGCAGGCGCAACCGTTAGAGGGACGACCATCTGACCAGTGAGAGGACTACGTATGCTGGTTGTTGGTACGAGAATCACCTGACGTGAACACGCGCCATTTACGTCTGATGTAGACTCCCCTCGTACAAGAGTGTGAATAATAGGATGCCTTGTTAAAATAGAGGGTGGTTTCATGATTTTTATTCGAGGTCGTTGACCAATATCGTCCAGCGCTTGAGGTGCGTGTGTGACAGGCCTAGGAACAACGCCCTAAAAAAAGCGCACTGTGTTCATTGCTTACCAGAAAAACTTTGGATATTTGTAATGTATAATATCATAATAATACAGATACATATACACAAAACGGAAAAGAGGATTGCATGTTAAACAAAAAGAGAGTGATGCCAGAACATGGTTTGCGGGCTGACGCTCTATACGTAAGACGCTAAGAACGTTGGTCGTGTAGCATGTAGATACAACATCAACTAGTAATTGATGACCGCCCTACTTGCTAGCATAGCTAGTTATTTCAACATAAATCTGCTAAAAGAACGATAGATAACGTTTTACGTGTATGTGTGTCTATTGTGGAAATTTGAAAAAGTTAGCAAATTTTTTTATATACAATTTTCATTTTATAGCTTTAGTAATTCCATACAAATAGTCAAATCGACTCACCCTTTCAAGGACGTGATTATGTGCAGGGCAGATATCTCGTATGTAGAGATGTTTGCCGTCCCTGGTTAGACGAATTTTGATATTAAATGGACAGTTTCGAAATTCCGCATCTCCACCGATTCGGCGCGCGAAGCGGCGTCCACCCCTGGTGCAAGCGTAGTACACTTCGGCGAAGATCAGGCTGTGGTTATAGTCACGAATGACTTCTCCCATATGGTTTAACGCAGGGTAGAGCTTTCGTGAGGAACGAACATAAAGATGGACTCCCTTGGCCATCTGAAATTTAGCCACGAGGTTCTGGAACGCAAGGCAAATACACCTAAACGCTTAAACGCTAGCATTTTTGGTTGGGAAAGAGGACTAACTATGATATCTGAAACTCATCCATGCTTGGTCTACATTCACCTAGCAACGCAAAAATGTGTATATTTTAAATTACATTCAGTCGTTTGTTCCTCTTGGTCAACGCTCTCAATCAATATATCCATGTCATTATCTTTTAGTGGAAATTCTAAACATGTCTAAGGAGAAACCTGCATATATGTATTATAAAATTCGATTTGTATTTACCTTTTAGCTAAATCATTTTATCATTATAGTCTTGGTTAGGTTAGATAATAGTCTGATCGCAATCTATTATACAAACGCTCACAGTTAAATCTTGGTAGCTGCTGAAGGTAGCTCCAAGATGAAGACCTGGATAAATAGCTTTAGTTGTGTCGACGCAAAATTCTGGTGCCGTAGACGGAGGACTTCGTGATCGCTCTGGAGGAATTTGGACCATAACGCGAATCTAGAAAGGGAACACATGATAATAATTTTTGAAACAGTACTAGGAATAGACTATTCAGTGGATTGTAGTTCGAAGTTTCATATAATATTTTTCCAGGAAAACACAACGTAAGCGATTGTTGACCTCTCCTCTTCCTCGCACTACAAGACGTGAACTTTAGACTGCGGTAAACATTTTCGCTCCATCAAGCTCGAAGTTAAAAGGAAATACTAACGTCTTAAATAGAGGTTACAATACGTATGTATATATGTAATGTAATTAATAACAATATAATTACTTGTTGTGGTTGCGGTGCAAGTTTCGCCGCTGCTTCGTGCGTATCAGTTGCGTTTATAAAGGTGATTTCTGGAATGGGGCTGAGAATTTCTTCCTTAACGACAGAAGTCGACTCTGGGTCAGTCACAACTGGAGTCTGCGTTGGGGATTTCATCAGGACGATCGGTAGGAATGTGTGACTACCATCTCGACGAGCAATTTGGGTCGCCATGTCATCCAGATGGCTTACAACTTCCGCAAAAAAAATATGTCATTATATATATTATATTATAACAATTTGTTGTTGACTATACATGATTAGGCTATGACAGCTGCTGCAAACGTACGCCTAGTTGTTTGGTAAATGTTTATCTTTAACGTTCTTTATTTGCGCATAGTTTGTTTGACGTATGGCGGCCATGAGCAGAGAGTGCAGCCTTTTGTCAATGATTATACACATAGCTAAGCAAGTAGCATTATATACGACTTGCCTTGCTATTAATTTTGAGTTCAAGAGATACTACAAGTGTATAGATAACTTAGATGAACCATCAAATCTAAAATACGAGTACGATGCCCGCAGATTCTCTAAACACAATGTTTACCCCCATAGCCTAGTCAAACTTTCGCTAAATGTAATAACCCTGGCTACAAATGCGCCCGTAAAGTTATTTACTTGTAGCAATCAGTGTAGTGAGAAGACATCGAACTAAAACAAAACATGATGGATTTATTAATATAAGGTGTTAAAATGTGTGTATATAAAGTTAATATAAGGTTTTTACATTTGATTAGAATATAAAAAAAAAGCCAGTACAGCATGTAGGCTTTCTTTAGATCATTAGAGCAGGTTCAAAACAAGCTGTTCACGTTTTGTGAGCTTTTGGTATCTTTGCCACGAGTGACAACCATCCGTTTAATGATTTCGCTAACCTTTTTCACTGAAAAAAGAACAGAAGGAATAGCTCTGATAGCATTTAGTTTATTAAACACATTTAGTGTAATACATAAACTAACCTATTTAAGAACATATTTCGAGTTAGATAGAATCAACTAGCCCCGGCTTGGGTAAGAATAATCGCACAATCAGATCGATTTTCTCCTAGTCTAGGCTAGCCAAGCGACGGAACAAACCAGACCACATATAGAGGTTCCACTGTTCTTTATATTGAAAAATAAGGCCATCTGGTACCTTTTGTGTACTACCTTTTCGTCTGACAAGAATTAAAGATCGCCCCTGCTGCATATGACATCATACACATTTGTGTTCTCTCTTTCTCTCTCTGCCTCTCTCTTTCCCGTTTCTATACCTCAGTGCCGCTTAAAATAACGCTAAGCATGCAATGTTCAATGGAGAAAACATGCACCTGTAAAACACTCACTTGAAATCAATTAGCTGGTTTCCTATTACGTCTGCTATTCTGTATTGGCCAAGCCCGTCGATGTACTGAATCGAACAACAACTTCATAACGAAAGCTCATTTGAGACAATTCTAATTTCGTCTATTGGTATTGCTCCGTATCCGTTTCTGTCTAAAAATGGGCGCGTTTTCCACCGAACCGTCCACTCAGACGCGTCCTTGCCGAAAACACTGGGTCATGGCTCACGGTCCGCCTGCACTTCAACACGACTAACCTGATGATTTTGTTAACGCACTGCTGGTGATATGGATGGGAGATGGTGGCTGTAACATTGTGTTTTCGTACGAGCACAGCGCACCCGCCGTCTCGCGAGCGAGAGGATGATAATATTACACAGAGAACCATTTCAGGCGCGCAGGGTCGACACCGAACCGCTCAATGTAAGGGAGAGGGCTGTGTAAGCGGCGTATGAGCCATTTCAAGGAGTTTGAAATCTGAGCACGCGCCGGCTCGAGCATATAGAACGTATCGGACGTTAAAACAACCAGTCCTCAGCGCTAAGGTATTTCTTGCTGAAGTTGAGGATCAGCGATACACAGGCTATCTCTGAGAGTCGGTCCTCTCCCCTGGTTACACTATGCGTGCGCGCAAACAGACAGGCCGACGAATACCGATCAGAAGACCTAAAACGAGAAAGGAAGGTAGAATGGCGCTGGAGTCGCTGCTGGCCGTAGCTATATATGGTGGTTGCGGAGCAATTACGACGACGAAAGCTGGAGGACAAAAACTTGGATTCAATAGGGTTGCGCGGAAACCCCAAATGAACCAGTATTGGCAAGCATGACACAAGCTATGAGTGCTTAATGCTAAGGTGAACTATCGGTATACTTCTGTTAACGTTGTAATGTTCCGCTCAAGATGAAAATCCAATTCATATCTAGATAATAATTCTAAAGGAACACCGTTAAAGCAGGACTATAAAGGCACTATTAGTTTGCTTGGAACCGTATCTCAAATGGTTTGTATACTTTATTTCATTACATTCTTTGTTCGTGAGTAAAATTCCTCAAGTCGAAAAAAAATGGTGACCTAAGTCCTACGAAATTAGTTAATGAGATTTTCTTGCATTGCTAGTGCGCGCAGGATGATTCCAAGTAAGCCATGCAATTGTATGATTTGCGGAACTTAATACCGACACCGACAATCGTGCTCTTTGAAAATCATCAACCTCTAGGTATATCCTTGTGAAGGCAAGAAAACAATATGTTGGTTGTCCGTAATTTGTTGATAAACCCTTCAGTGGTATATGTATTTCCCGACGTAAGTTAACAACAAGACAAAACGCGAAAACTAGGAATATGGTTAGTAGCGATGTTGGCCGGACTCATCAGTCTAAGTGCGATAGATATGGTTCAGATAAACGGAAAATCGTCAGCCGTTCACTTTTTCTTTTATGAATCGTCTGTTGCTTGGGGGAACGTAATTCTGCAATGCTCGAGTGCGGCAGCGTAGTCTGTGTGCTCAGAACACAGGCTACATCTAGGTATATTCTTTTACATGGGTTAGCCACGGGCTTGATAATGGGAATCTGAACTGGCACACATATAGTAGCTCAGGTCTTGTAATCATTAGTTCTGCGGGTCTGGAAGTTCCCGTGTAAGGACCCATTCGTCTGCTACAAGTTGAAACTACAAAGATTTCAGCATAAAAATCTAACGAATATGCTGCGTACTCCTTCTTTTTCCTTGACTATGCTTGCCTACTGGTCTTTGCCTATTTGTGTTTACAGTTTTTCTATAGCCATCCGTTCACTGGGTTTTGAAGATATAGTTTTTTGAGTACAACAATACATTTGGTTTCTAAAAACAGCATTAGAGAAGACGACTGTTGTCTCCTTATAATAGCATCATTGTAGATCGACGCTTTATGTAGTACTACATGTGAAAAAAAAACCGAAATGGTCGAGCGTACAATCGGTAATTGAGACTGGAAATAATTATTATCTACGATATTTCGGTAATATCTTTGTGCCATTTAAGCCGAGATAAACAATGGAGCGTAAAATCTGCGATGCACTATTATACTTTTTTCACTTCAATATGGCCTAAACTAGGTGAATATACGGGTTACCTTTCATATGCAATTCTTTCAAAGAACTATAGTATGATCCAAGAATATTTTTAAGTATCGCAAACATATAGTGAGTTCAAAAATTTTAACCAACCTGATAAAGAAATCTTAGCAAATATATTAGGCTTTTACAAGTGAATCCGGCAAACGACTTGGGCTAGAATGATAATTTTTAATGTGTTAGAGGTATTTTCCCCAGCGCTCTGGTAGCTTCTGTATAGCCATATACCTTTCATCCGCTTGTCCACCAGTTGTCTTTTTTAACGCATAGAAAGCCCCGTGTTCCATAGACTCAAATTACGAGAATAAACAAGTTGAAGCCAACGTTGGTTATTGTTACTTCATATACAGCACAGCTATGAGGTTTTGAGTTGTCGCCAAATATGCAGACTACACGTCTTCGATTGCCGTGTTAACGACCCATGAGTGTCTCTTGTGAACCTCGATATAGCGGGCCATAATCTTTGTTTCATTTTCGGGGAGTATCCCGTAGTAGCAGGTGCCTCTGATATCCATTGTAATCACTGCCGTTACCTTACGTTCGAACCTACTTAACACTATCGCCTAATCTCACATCTTCCCAGGGCAATGCCACTTCCTCGTCCATGCCTTGTCTATGGTAACTATATACGCCACGCACACTTCCAACAGGCCTGGGGTCAATTCACAGGGCAGCTATGTCTAAGCAGCTTCCGCGTTTTCAGGGTTTGAGTTATAAGTCATGTTAGACATAACATGTGAAATAAAGCCCATTAGTTTCTACGTTATGCTATCGTAAAAAACCGCCTCGACTAAGGCAATGCATTCCTCTCCTTCGAACTCTTACACCTGGTTACCTCGTCGCTAATTTTTATTCTCCAACTGTTTGCACCATTCACGTACCATGGTTTCCTTATGGCTAATGTATTTGCAAATTTTCGATTAATTTTCACAGCATTGTGATCTTCGAGGAACAAAAACTTGACCTCTGAGCATAGATCTTCGAGAAAGAAATGGTATTTTCTCCCTGTTTCCCTTTCCTCACTTTTTTTCCCTAGAGTAAATTCAATCTACTATTTTTAGAAAATCAAAGTAGCTACTACGAAATTTTACCCACTAACGGCAAAATATGTCGAGACTGGCGGATTCGCTGGTAACAGTCTAATAACTTCCGCCAAGACTAGTATTGTCGAAGTATGATGCATCGAATAGTAAATCTATCGAGGTGAATATGGGAGACCTGTTATTAAATCATTTATTATTGAGAATGCCAAAATGTGCCTCGTCTGATTTATAGCAATCTTCATTTTCAAGCCTAATCTAAAGTCTGAACAAATATAACAGGTGCCAAGGACTTCCATCAGAATACCTTAAGGACTATTTCTATTTCTCTAGACGATTCGTTTTCGGAAGCGGATTAATAGACAGTATTGACAGGTATAGCTGGATAAGTACTTGTTGGTATTCTGTGCTACACAAATGGGTCGGGTGTACTTTTGGCCTGGTTCTTGTTTTTAGTTTTTTAGTCGTTTAGAGTTAGCATAGTTGTGACTGACATGAGTGACCTTTGTATACTAGGGAATTAATGGTGGAGTTTTAGTCGGACGCTTTTTGCCCAACCACTTAAGTGTGAACGTTTGTGTACGTTTACTTTGGTTGCTATTTACTCGTATTTTCTCCTATCTTCTTCAGCCCATAGATGAATAATACCACGCGAATCGTCCAGTGCAAAGCCCTGAGATGGATCATCGCTTTTAGCTCACCAGGACAGTCACCTTAAAGTTACGGTTTCAAGGGATGATTTTGACAACAGTTGAACCTAGTGGTGATATACGGATATATCAGTACTAAATCTAACTGCCACTTCTCGCACCCCTGGTACCTTATTGCCTAACAACTTCACCTACCTGTTCATGCTAGTTTACAAAGTGGAATGCCCAAAACGCGGTGCTCTGTGACCATGTGCAATAAATTAAACCGGAATTAACTACTGCAGATGCTGATTCGCGTTATAACTAAGCGTCTTTATGTACCTAGAACAATGATTGCAGTCGTAAGCAGAATACCTAAACATCGTCAAGGCTTTTGTCGCGATCGGTAATTTTACCCTACCACACATGGGCTTACGGCTCAATGTAGCTGGCGCCTTCAGGCGCCAAGATTTAATTGGTTTTCGGCAAGTTCCATACTAACCCTGTGCCGCTAACGCTGCAGTAACCTTCATGGATTCCACAAAGATCAGTAGTGATGAATTTATTATAGACCCGCGTTTCTCGCCTAGTCCTTACGTACAGTAGCTCCTTCAACAACTTCTAACGCATCCTATATTCCTTCTTCTGTACACTCCTAATGCTTGTTGTCCCCTAAACTATTTGCAGGAACGTTCTTATTTCACCACATAATACCCACTCCAACCTTTCTTGCGACTCTGTATGACTTGCCTCCGATTTCAGCTCTACGCAATTCTACACATATTCGATATGTACGTGCAGGATTCGCTTCGTTATTACCTCTAGACTAATCTCGATGTTGCTTCTTGTTGAGATCTCTTATCGATTTTCCTAATATTTCTGTCTTATTGCTTGTCCATTACCATCGATGGCTGGATTCAGTCAGTAAGCGATTAAGCGCTCTTGTCGAACGCCCTAGCTGTAAAGGATAGATATGTAGAGGCCATTTTTCGTTTCATTGGTACTCTGAGCGGACGACGTTGGCAAATGTAATTTTGCTTTGCTTAGTTGTCATACTTCTACGACGCATTCCATCTATGAGGGGCCTGTTGCGGCGGTGTATTCACAATTTGATTCATACATCGAAATTTCGTTAACGCAGAGAGAGCCTCTTATTGCTAGTGTATCTCAATTGAGTGACGTTGCGTTGTCGTCTTGTTGACGTTACTAGAACCCACGAGCCGTAGGAAGGACCCAACGCCGTGGATTCTATTATGTTTCTTTGTCCCGTGCAACTACTGGCTGTATGTTCTGGTCACATGTGATTGTTAGATCGCGCTGCGCATACGTTCCCTTTACGTGTGCGACACGTCTGCATGCGTTGCAGACGTTGGATAGCCTGCCTGCATCCTAATTCCCTTTCTATTTTGAGACGTTTTTGGCGTCCATTCGGGGCCTCGGCTTGCGATTGCGCTACTACATCAGCCATTTGTCTTTAGGCTTCAAACGTGAACGCAGCAAGACGGTAAGTTAATCCATGCCAATATTCAATAATTGGCTATTCAGTCAGAGGAGCCTGCGGACCCTGTGCATAGCTACCTATTATAGTCGTTTGGTGAATCAGCGATCTGACGTTGAATCAATACGGTGATTGTGGTGTAAGATCTACTTCCTTATTTGACGTTCAGTGAATCTGTTTATCTATGCAATTGTTCTGTGTAATTTGCCGATAGCTTTTTGGTTTAGATTTTCTCTAGCTTTTATCGATTGCCACGTGGTTCCGGTACGACTCCGCAGAAATATTAGAAAAGACTTAAGTTATCGATTTTATCGTTTGTTTGCCGTATCTAGTTGATGGATAGTAGGTTTCTGTGTGCGTAAACCACGTAAGCTAAACTGTGTAGCTGATTTGCTGTGGCTAATGAGGTATTTTGTGCATCGAATTTTCAGTGTTCTACATCAATCATAGATCAAAATGGTTGTTGAAGTTACACCCACTTCAAATATTATTGACGAGAGCAATGTAAGTTGAAATTTATCTTTATTTCGAGTATCCTCTAACGGTTTTTGGTAATGAAGCGATATTTTCCTGCTGTGTTTTTGTCCTTTTTGTTATTTACATTACTTCATTAATATATTAGTAAATTACTTAACATGCGTAGTAGTTAATGGTGAAGCCTGAAGAAACGAGGTTAGTGATGTGTGAGCAATGGTTATCTAGCAATGTCTAAGTGACTCAGCCGTGTAGGCCACTGAATAGCAAGTCCTGTCGGCCGAGTATTATATTGACCTTAAGTGTGACCCTTAACAATGTGAGAGCTTCACATTGTCATGTGTACATATATGCTAGCGTTTTCTTGGTGATTCGAAGTCTCGCCGCATTCAGTTGATTGCATGAGTAACGAGCACTATGTATGTAAAGAAGGTGGAATAGATAAGTCTAATACAGACACTGGTATTCACAAGGTACGTTTCAATATCGACAATATTTCAGAACAAATTTTACGTTGGAACAGAGAATAGTTCATTAAATTTGGCCTAGGCGTTAAATGTAAATCGTAGAACAGTCACCAAAATAGTAGGCCATTCAACTGTTTCAGGCTGAATGTCAGCGTAGTGTTATCTATTAGATGTTTTTTGACGTATTAACTTCGTGTTTATACATTAATAACAAAACACTGCTTCGTCCTATGAAAGGGCCTACCGATAAGAATGCGCGATAATGCTAGTCACGGCCACAGCGTGTCTGCCTCAATACGTATGATAGACATGCTGTTGTCTTTGAATTATGCTGATTGAATGAATAAGTTGGTACGTAAGCGATGATTGAACATGAGAATTTTTTTCTAGATGAAGGCTCTACAAATCGAAGATGGGGACTGGCGTAAAGGCCTGAAGGTACCCCCAAAGGATCGTCGCGTACGGACTACAGACGTTACCGACACGAAAGGCACATCTTATGAGGACTTTTGTTTAAAACGTGAGCTTCTAATGGGCATTTTTGAAATGGGTTGGGAGGAACCTTCGCCTATTCAGGAAGAGGCTATCCCTATGGCAAAAATGGGCCGAGACGTGCTAGCCAGAGCAAAGAACGGAACTGGTAAAACTGGTGCATACAGTATTCCAGTACTTAATGCGATAGATGACAAAATGGACAGCATACAGGCTCTAATTTTGGTCCCAACCCGTGAGCTGGCTTTGCAGACGGCTAAAGTATGTTTGCAATTAGCAAAACATACCCTCGTTAAAGTCGGTGTGTTAATTGGTGGTAACCTTGTACAGGACGATGTAAAACGGGCACATCATGGTGCACATGTGCTGGTAGCTACCCCGGGCCGTGCCCTCGATATTCTCAAACACAATGACATCTGTTGCGACAATATTGATAAGGTTGTGCTTGATGAGGCTGACAAGATGCTATCAAAAGGCTTCCTACAGGCGACCGAAGAATTGATGGAGCTACTGCCGAAGCGCAAGCAAATTCTTCTGTTCTCGGCAACGTTCCCGATGGAGGTGCAGTCGTTCGTTAAGAAGTACTGCAGCAAAGATTGTAAAATTATCAATAAGATGACCGAGTTAACCCTCAAAGGTGTCACTCAATACTATGCGTACGTCCATGAGAGCCAAAAGGTCCATTGCCTGAACACGTTATTCTCGAGGCTGCGAATCAACCAGGCGATTATCTTTTGTAATTCACAGCAGCGCGTCGAGCTGCTGGCGAAGAAGATCACTGATTTGGGTTATTCATGCTATTATATTCATTCGAAGATGCAGCAACAACACCGCAATCGAGTTTTCCACGACTTTCGTGAAGGTCAATGTCGTAACCTCGTTTGCACCGATCTGATCACCCGCGGTGTTGATGTTCAGGGAGTGAACGTCGTTATCAACTTTGACTTTCCACACCATACAGAGACGTATCTGCATCGTATCGGCCGATCTGGTCGATTCGGCCACCTGGGTATCGCCGTAAACCTCATCACTGAGAAGGACCGTGACAACCTTGTCATGGTCGAACGCGAACTCAACACTAGGATTGAACCTATACCGAAGCAGATTGACACCAAACTATACGTGGCGGAATCGCACCTCGATTCAGTGGACTCGCAGCTTGACACGATGTAGACGCTGAGGTTACTTTGAGAAAATAACATCAACAACATTTAGGGCTGGTAGGGGTTCCAGGACATTTATGATTTTTCATGGTATGAGAGCCCTTTTCTACATCCGTGTGTCCAGTCAATTACCAATTGTCTCTTAGCCCTGTCACGTCATGCAGCAATTGTACCTGTTCTACGCTAGTTGTCGGAGGACCACAAACATAACCCAACAAAACTTTACTCTATATAAATATACATGTACTTATATACATATACCGATCTATATATTAATATACATTTGCTATATATATATATATATATATATATATATATATATATATATATATATATAATAAGCCACGGAGCAAACATAGAGTAAACAACAGCAACAGTAACAACGACGACGACGACGACGATGATCTGCAATCAATATAATCCATATATATATATATATATATAGAGCAAGCCGATAACAGGGATTCTATCAGAACCAATAACAGCAAAAACTACAATAAGACATAAGTAGAAGGATAGTTAAAACCGAGAGCCAATCTAAAATGTTCGAGGCTTCGATTACTCTTCTACAGCGAATTAACGCAATGCTATAAACACGTTATAATTTGTAAGAACGCACGGATTTTGTTTGAGCGTCCGAGGTTAACCTTCGTCTATAGATTTGAGTTTCGCGATCCCTTATCCCTACCCTGTTTTCGTAATGTACCGATACAACGAAGAGGCTTTTCACTAAACCGCTTCGTTTTGTGACGGGCCTTTCTGGTAAAATGGCGTGCGTGGGGTGATTTGATGATAACAATAATGATAAGGGTCGTATGATCTAATTGTAAATTAGTCTATTGCGTATTTGAAGGTTGAATATTGATACACGACGCTAACTATTTGATCTGCCTCGCATCTCCATTCGGGTATTGATGTAAAAAGAAAACGAAAGCGATATCAATTCGACGAAAACATTGAAACGAAAAACACTATTACTAACACCAATAACCATAATTAAAAAGAAACAATTAAATTTACTATTACGAACAGATGAGTAGTCTACAAATAACTAAAAGAACATCAGCGCACAAGAGACGTAGTACACAATCGCGTCATATCGATGTCGAAGATAACAACAAAGCAGACGCTGAAAGAACAAGCAGACGACTATTACGAAAATTCGATTTCCACCACAGTGACACAAATTGAATTTGAGAAACACGACAAACTTCGACTATTTCGTGTCGCGAACGATTACCTGGTCGATTATGACGAGCAGAGAATTACGTGAAATGTATTCATACATATATCGATCTGTCACGTGGCTGTTATTTACGTTTAACGGTGTTTACACAACTTTTGTCTATTAACAGAAATATGAACGACACATTCTAGAAAGAGTTCAAGCTAACGCGATGGGAAACAGCTAAAAAAAGAAAGCTATTACGCAAAAAAATCGAGCTCGTTGGCAGAACAAATAAAGAAGTCAGTGTGTACCGGGAATTGTTCGACTATTTTCATATGTGAATAGGTCTTTCTATTAATAATCTAAAAGCAGATAGGCGTGCCCATGCAGTGTCGGCAGAACTGATTGACATTTGTTTGTGTAAAAAAAATAACTACCTAGTCAATATCACAATGTTACGAACTTTACGGTTTGAATTCGCTGTTGAAAAGTTTGCATTGAAGTTCAGTTAGTTGTTTTTGTTTTGTTACAATTGCCGTTCCGCGCTGATCACCGAGTTGTCAAACAATACGAAGAACTTGGCAAGGCAACACACGTTGATCTTTTTATAATACCTCTTAACGGGCTAATCAATTGTTGCCTTTCTCATCAATGCAAAAGAAATTTCACTGTACATCCCTCGATTTTTGATAACGTGGAGAGATCTACTGCTTACCTTAAATATATAAAGTACACCTTAAATAATTGGGCCGACTAAGTACTTCATACTTCATAGGCCAATGTTTAGGTTTAATCGAATTGTTAACCCCGTGCATAAAACGAGTGTTGCCGAAACCATAACTAAACGGTTATAAACGGCTTTAAGAATGCTTTTTTTAGGCTCACTGAATTTCGTGTGCAAGGATTTCCTGTCCTGAGCGTTCTCCTTGTGTTATATAGGAGAGCTAAATTCAAATAACCCAGATTTTTATATCCATAAAGCGGCGTCTTCATGCACAAAAACGGGGCGAAGGCAACGGGTAGCACCAGTCCTTCTTCGTTTCAGGTTTTGCCTCCGACGCAGAATACGGACAACAATACGATGCTGTCACCCGAAAACTTTGGTGTTCTGCTGTTTAATAGTACGATTTCTCGTGATTAGAAGCGATCATAGAGTGCTGCAGGAAGTGTACTTGTCTGTTTATAGTGATGATAATCACCATCAGTGTAAATGTACAGTGGCAGACGTTGTCAACAGGCTTCAAGTTGAACTGATCGCTTTTTTGTGAAATAACACTCGCACTTCTAGCTAAATAGTATCTTTCTTAATGGAACTTGAGTTCTGGCGCATATTGGAAACAATTGTTCAGCCATGTGTTGACGACGGCTACTAGATATGAACACTGATACAAAGATTTTATGCGAACGTACACAGATGTACAAATGAATGTTCTGGTATTGGCGTCAATCACTGCGTCAGAGGGTGAGCTTTAACACGAAATGAAGTCTACACCCGCTCTCCGGACCACCACGTGTCCAAAGTTTAGTACTTGCATATCGCAAACAAAACATACTACCTAGATTATCGACTAAACAGAGTTGAATAACCTTTATCTCGGCTAGAGAAAACAGTTGGATTTTCTTATAAAATTAGTACTGCAGTTTATTCACGTTTTTCTCCAGATTTCATTTGTTATCTCATTAGCTAGGTAAAGCCGTTTCTAGGCAACACCTACCGAAAAATACGTCGAAATAATTACTTAACTTATAGGAAACCGGTCTTGTTCTTACTTGGCTTTGTTTAAATTAAATAGTCTAATCAATAGTATAAACACCAATCAGTAATTTTCGTGGACTAGGTACTACGAAGGGAATTTCAGGGTTAAATATACTTTTACGTTCTTATAGATGTTTCACCTTATTATTATGCATCTTAGTATGGTAAGGTTCCTTGGTGAGCAAAAATTAAAATCTATGAACTATATTTTGTAAAAATATTCGGTGCTTACCGCCTTCACAAGGGCTCTAGGACCAGGCTGAGCAACGTATTCATATTCAGCGAAATCCTCTTTCCCCATATATATATATATATATATATATATATATATATATGAAATCCTGTTTCAGGGTGTATTTGGTTTAAAATGATAATCCCACATAAACGACATTCGTATAGTCCGTCTATAAACGTATTTATGTATATTTATATGCGTAATTTATAATAACAAACAAATAAAGTGCCCTATCTTTCAAATCTATGGAAATCTCATAGAATTTGAACCGGGTTGCCTCTCGCGTTATATTGCATCCTAATTCGTATGTTATTAAGAAAGTTCACCGGTTTTTTTTGAGATAACAATAACTTACTTTATTTTTCTCTTTTTTTTTTTATTATTTTTTGCTCGATTGTTGTTGTTGCTGCTGCTGTTGCAGTTATTGTTATTGATGCTACCGTTGTTTTTGTTATCTTGTTATTAATTATTGTCTTGTTGACTTAATTCGTATCCTCGTTCTTCGTATTTTGCGTTATATTCTCTTCTGTCCTTATGGCACATAAATAATCTGACGGCGGTAGTAATAATTCATAATAATAATATTGTTAATATCATATTTACAACCTATTATACAGCTTGGCATACGGCTGCAGTTATTTTTTCAAAGCAAAACGTTGCGACAAGCGAGCGCGGCGTCACTTTGACGCCAACATGGCTACAACATTTGTCTCTCTTATCATCTAGGTCTTTTTTTGACTTTATGGGCAAAAACTTCAAACAAGTTTCGTAAATTCTTTTTCCCCTTGCCTTTTAATCAGCCAATATTAACAAACGAATAACGAATTATTTCTGATCATCACGATTAGATAAGGAATCGAAGTGAAGGGGATCACAAGAGACAGCAAGGATTGGCATCATTATTGACAGAAGTTCCGTATTTCTCCTCTAAAAGATCTCTGTGTTATTTAGTCATCGATCTGCCACAGCAAAAATGACGGCGTACATTATGAACAGGTGGGAAAATGCTGCGAAAGCTAACAGACTTCAAAAACGCTTGCAGGGTTTGGCGTTTGCTGATCGATTGTCATCATTTTCAGTCAACTATTTCGAGTGTAAATAATCAGCATTCAGTCTGGTGATATGCGAACAGATATGTAAGACGGTGATATCATCAAAAATACGAAAAACAAAATGATCGTCTAGATGGCCACTAGAATTAAATGGGAAAATTGGCAAGATCGTTTTGTTTACGCAGTTAGGTCGGGGTGTAGAATCGTTCGAAAATAGATTGCGTTCGTTTTCGCACAGGTAAATTCGTGAATGCGCATGCACATCTGGTGGTGCTCAATATATATTACATCGGATTGATATTGAAGTAACTATTTTTAGATCGTTAGTTCCATTGCTGATGCTGGTGTCATACTGCTTGACGATAAACTGACGCAACCAAAAAATTGGTTTTCATCAAAAACTTTGCGTACAAACTTTGAAGTAAAAATTGTTTGCATTAAAAACAAATCAGGTAAAAGATACATACAGTTTTTTCAGGTACACACATAGGGAAAGATTAAGTGCATTAAGTCGATCAGAAAGTATTCCTTCAGCTCACTTTTGGAAGAAAAGAAGCTACCTCTTTAGAGTTATTCCGTTAGCTTAAACTTTCGATGTATAGACAACAGACAGATCTCTTGGCAAACAAAGAAGGCAATCCATTCAAAAGCCACGTTGCCTTTCGCTTAAAAGCGCTCATCCACTGGGCGTGCACAGATCGAAATGAGCAGCATAAACAAATGCAACGAGTGTGCAGATAGCGCTAATTATAGTTGCTTTCTGATCGACCTGATATTTGCTATAAACTGATGTATATATGTTACAAGAACTTGTGTCCCTAATCACGCCATTATAACGATTGCTCGTCGTGGTGAATCAGTATGTGGGGGGTAAGTTGGTTTGCTGTAACGAGCCTCGCTAAAACGATTCTACGTGATGAAGTTAATTTCTGCTTTAATTTTCAGTATTACAAGTGACAACAAGCGACACGTGTACCTTTATTCCCTCTGCTATACCCCCCCCCCCCCCTGCTCATTATACATTTGCATTGCCTTCGGACCTTCCGTAGGTTCGGCTTCTCCCGAGCATCGACTCGCTTAATAAGTGTTTTGCTTAATGACTAGTTGAGTATTTACCGAAAATTTATGGAAATTAACAAGAGTAAGCCAGAGCCAGTGTCAAACTCGAGAAAATAAACAACCAAAAAACGCAAATCTCTAATTTACGTTGACCGCCATGTATCGTTATCTATTGTAATAATATATACTAACAGCGAATGCCGTGTGTCAGTGACGCAGTCGGATTGTATTTCCTTCAGAATAGCTCTTGTAAGGGCAATTCAGAGATGGCGTAGACATGGTTAGTATAGCACTTCACTTAGAAGGAACCTCGCTAGGAAAGTATCTTTATACCGCCCTATCCACAATCTTATGGTTCTGTAAGGGTAGGCCTTCTAGGGATTACGTGGGGTCTGATTAAGGCTGATTACGTTAACGACGTATATTTGTTAGTGAGTCTTCCTGTGTGCCACTACCCTGTATTTCTGTATAGAATATGATAGCAGATCTTTAGTTGTCTTTAATTGTTTTGTTTACCATTACACTAAATAGGCAAGGTATTGTTTGCTCAACTAAGGACTTTTTCGAAATACACTAAAATGTATATAAGACAGTTAGATATATCCCAAGGAGAGGGGGAATGCTTTGAACTGCTCTATCTTATATCGCTAGCCACCATTACCACAACTGCTACTACTTCTACCACCAGTATTAGTACTACTGCCATCACCACGGCGAATCTGCTATACAGATACTAGACGTTTTCTTTTTGTATGTGTAACACATCGACTCTCGTACCGTTTCATGCAATATTCTCTCATCACTTATACCTCATCTCAAACTGGTTGTTTGCCGTGATTATGCCTTTAACGGAATGAAATCGAACTATGTCGTCTCACTCACATGTTCAGCTTTCACGTTTAGAATCAGTGTTCAATAATATGCCAAAGCTCATTTGAGACAATCTGATTTTGCCGTTACCACTGTACGTAGGGTCACTGCCATCATGAGAATTCGGGACGACGTCATCTAGACATATTTGTCGTATTCAACATCCGTCGGTATCTATGTATGTGTGACGTGTTTGTTCGTCGTTTCAAAACAATGCAGACATTCGGAAAGTGGGCAACCAAGGCGACCCAGAAGTGTGGGTCACACGCGAAAAGTACATCTACAGTTTCGAGTCGCGTCAACGGTGACGTCTGGGGTATGAATGCAAAGTTCACTCTGTTTTTTTTTCAGCTTTCCCATCTCTGATTATTGTTCTGCTATCGCCATTGTTTCGCCCCAGTGATCGCTGAGTTTCATCATTATTGATTTATTAACAAATTGTATATAGCTCTATATATTTTAACATGTGTTAACGTTGCACATTCGCTCTATTACTTTTGCTGTCTATTTTTCTCGCACTTACTATATCCCTGTCCAGGGTTTCACACTGGTTTCAATTCAATAAATATATATACGAATATTATTGTTGTCATACTGTTTTCTGATCGTGTTCTTGTTTTGCTTATTGCCAGCTTGTTTTTTTTTTGTTTTCTGCTGCTTTGGAGTTTCATACAGGTTATTTAGAGTGTGTAATAACTATTGTCAACTCCTGTTCAGCTTTCGCACGGAAAGTATTAACAATACCTAAATGGCAACGCTATTTCGTCAGTTTTTAGACAGATACATGACAGGTTGTGGTTAAGGTCACAGAGGTACACGGCCTTATTATCTGTTTTCTCAAATATATAGTATTTTGCTTTCAATGTGTTTGATACTCTCAGTTTCCCCTTTTTTTCCCTGCTCCTCTTGCTAAAAATATGTCCCTTCAAGAACGATCAATAATACTTTCCATGACCGCTGTTACTACTTGTTGAGTTACTCGTAGTTCTATTGTTATTATTCTTGCCCCTATTATTGTCTCTGTTGTTGCTTGTTCGCTTCTTGCTGCTCCCTAATGAGGTTTTTTAATGAGATCTGACAGACGGGGAGGATTGGCTATGGGGCCGATAACTTTACCTGACACGCGTAGGAGGAGCATGTACGCAAGCTGTTCAGTAGCGAGTAACCGGAGTTATATATCATAATTATCTTCATTAAGTCGTGGGTAAGGCGTCACTTAATTTTTGCCAACAACTCCCATTTTACTGCTATTACAGCCAACACTATTTAAGTTACTTCGTTCTTCATTGTCTCATTGTTCGTCACTGACTCAGTCGTATGATTTCTTGTTTTTGTGGTCAATACTTAATTTATTATGGTCAGTGATGATATTTTCACTGCCGCCAGTAAATAATCATCGCATCCTGCCTGCTTTTGCTTTACCAATTCGTTTAGGTAAAAGCCGCCGTATAGATCTGTTCATCTATTAATACATTGTATGTACAATATCAACATAATAGTTGTTTGTCTTTTTGATTTAATCCTAGACCATCTCTCGCCTTCTCTCTCTCTCGCTGTTATTATTGTTTTCGGCTATTGTAAGTCGTATTGGTTCTTCCCAGACTTTTTGTGGGGTAACGGCCATCATGAACGGGCACGCAGTTCGACTTCATCTGAGGGGTATGAAAAATTGGCCTACGCTAACCTTTTCAAGTTGTTGTTATTTTATATTCGTCGGATTTTTCTTATGCGTTTAGTTTTTTGATGATTAAAATAAACATTACGACTGCACCCCATGGTACTATCTGCCCGAATTGATATTTGATCATCGCCTCATAATGCAGCAACCTTTACCATGATCCGGTTCTGTTTGTTATAAGCTGCACACTGCGTTTCTTTCGCTTTTTTATATCTACGTACGATAAGTGTCATGGAAGGAAGCATACTTCCAGTTTGCATCGAAACAAGCGGCATTCGATACGAACCTTCTCCTCTGCAACCAAATTGACGTACTTCAGGCCGCCAGGCGAATTGCCGCACGTCCCACATTTCGTCCAGGCACAGTAGTTCTTCGGGAGGCTTCGAATTCGTGCGATTCGGTGTCTGCCTTTACAATGCCTAAAACAGTTATGCGAATCGCTCAACAAAACACCGAAACACTGATTTTACTCAATCATAGCGATGCAGTCGTTGCTGTAACTGTTGCTGTTACCCAAATAGTCAGCCGACGTATTTATCATCGATCCGCCAGGCATCGCCTCTTTATCTATTTCTTTATCGGCGTTTCATTCCTGTGCTAACATTTCCGCCATTTTTCATCGGTGCGAACGGTACGTTCATCGTCTCCGTCTCTCTTTTCAATCATGATTACCACCATAATAATTAAGGCGTCCTCTGCTTTCATTCCGTTTCGTTAATTATTATTATTATCATTATGAAGGGAACTTGTATGACTACTAACAACTTTTCATTTTCAGTTTCCGTTCCATTGAGGATTTGAAGGTCATTGTTGTTGTTGTTGTTGATTCTGCTTTTCGATCTATTTCAGCTGTTAGCTTCTCGCAAGAAACCTTGTCAAAGCTACAACGATCGATTAAGCTGATTAATATCTGAGTGGGGTTGTTTTTACTGGTTTATCTTCTCTCTTATCTCTACATGTTTTTATAATATATAATAGCCTTTTTCCATAGGTTCTCAGCATCTTGCTCTGCAAACTCGTTCAACATATTTTCGTGTTTAATATTTAAATTCTTTATACAATGACGGAAGTGGATGAAAATTGACTAGATTGACTTGGCTGCTGGGGTTGTTGCGGGGACCTGGATGCCGGCGTAGGGATCGACATGGGCGGCGGAGGGGGTGGAGGTGGAGGTGGCGCTCTTTTGGGTGGACCCTGTTGCTGTTGCTGCTGTTGATTGCTTGCAGTATCGCCGGCGGCCAACGTATTCAGTGATTTCCCCGTAGGTGAAACTAATCCCCCGTTGAGTTTGAGGGCATCGTCTGTTGACCTATCGAGAAGGTCAACACTTCTCTTTGGAGTTTGCGACCGCATAGGCGTCGACGTTTTCGGTTGCTGTTCTTGCGTTGTTGCAGGCTGCTGTTGTTTCAGGCCGTTTGTTCCGTCCTCGTCACCTCCAACGGACCGATTCCTCAACAATTTCGGTGTTTTGCCTTCAAACGGATTGCCATAACTGAATGGCTTGAGGCTTCGTTGCTCCTCCGATGGCTCAATGACGGTAGCTGAGGCCGTAGTGCGTTTGGGGGTAGCGGGACGACTTTTCGGGCCTCCTAGCGAGCCTTGGCCCTTCGCATCCCGCGCCTCCTGGAGTCCGCTTTCGTAACAGAACGGCCCCGGGATACAGGGCGGGGGCACGGGCACAACGGCGCTGGGCGATGGCGACCGTGGGCCAGGAGTCCGTCGAATCGTGGCCGTAGGGGTAACGCTGCCACCAAGGACCATGTCGGGAGAGTCCATGTATGAGCTGACATCGAGGTGGAGCCGACTCGGCGTCAGAGTCGACTTCCGGAGCTGTCCATTGATGCTCCGCTGGCTTAGAGTCTTTTGACATCTGTGCGAGATTTCAATGAGTTCTGGATCCTCAGCGTCCAGTGCCTCTCCACAACTATCACGGTGCAGTAGTTGATTATCCTGGTTATTTTGTTGCTGCTGCTGTTGCCTCTGCCGAAGCAAAAGCTGATCCTGTAACTTTTTCGAAGGCTGGGGCGTTAGGTGGGGCGGTTTGCGGGGCACCGCGGGTTTGGGTGAGGGATGCGGAGAACCCTGAGTCGTGTAGTGAGCTTCGTCTGCTAATCCTCCACCAGCGCCATTTGGCGGTACATCGACACTAGCTAAGCTGCTGGAACTATGACGAGACGCACCGTGACCGGTTGGAGGCTCGGGCTGGAACGTACTCACACGGTGCACGACGGACGTCCCGTTCATGACCTGGCCATGCGCGGGCGTCGCATGGTGAGACGTCGAGCTTGAACCTCCCGAGGAAATGCCTTCGTCATCATCATTGTTCAGGCTCTGTTCTTTCATGAAGTAGGCCCGGCCGGAAGCCAGGTTGACAATTGTGCGGTTCGTATCATCGACAAGTAGGCGAGCGTTTACCCCATGGCCAATTCCAGGCTCCGTGTGCACCGGATGAATCGGCTGCATTACGCCTAACATGCTGACGCTATCATCTTCGTCAGCTGAACAGCTCCCGCCGTAGACCGACTGTGTAACGCCGCCTGAGTATCGTCGGCTGTTACGGCCCGTGGGTCCCTCAGGGTCATCTTTATCAACCCGAAGACGCTTTCGAGTGCTTAGCAGGATAACCACCCAAATGAGCGACGTTATGATCACGCAGATCACTACGGCTGTAACAACAAAACAACAAAGACTCGTAGCTCAGATTTCATTGGTTTTCTCTTATTCTTTACATTAGTTTGTGATAATATGCTTTAACATTCATCTGTATAATCACGTAGAAATAAACCGATTAAGTGCCCGGAACGCTTTTGCATAATATATTAGTTCATTAACAATGGTGTTGATTCAATATCTAGCTTAAGTTAAAGACAGTATCGTTACACATCCGAAGGGTTGACGCAATGTGAACTTATTTGTACATATATTGATAAATATTCCTATTACGAGGGTTACACTTACCAATAACAACAATGCCAAGCGTGTTAAGCTTATCAAAAAAGGCTGGCCAAAGAAATGCGGTTGCACCCTGTCCAGGCGCTGGAGCAATGTTGAGCTGTGATACTTGACGCTGTGAGCCCGCGTCGTTAGAGATTTCGCAGGCGTAGCGGCCCCCATCAGCCGGCCCAGCTTGCATAATAAGTAGCACTTCACCCTCCTTTGCCAATAGGTATCGCTGGGTTTCTTGAAGCGGCAAACCATCCTTGTACCATCTCCGCCGCGACGCGGGATTGCCTTCAGACAGGCACTCGATAACGGCGGTTTCTCCCTCGTGGACATCTTTTGACACCATCGGACGAACGAATTGAGGAGTCGCTGTATTTGTTCAAAAACGACAGACAACCGAACTGTATTATCTATACGTAGTCGAACCAGTGGTTGACAGCAAATATGCCCGAAAATGCATTTATATAGAAAGGGATGCGATAACACAGTTTCAAAATGCTGACAACCGTGTTACATGCTTCTATGTAAACTGTACCATGTGAAAATGTCTTGTCGTAAAGTTTTCTTTATATATATATATATATATAGAAAGCAAATTATCTATTTCACTTGATTGGCAGTGATCAGAAAGGACAGTAAGTTAAACATTTAAAACGTACTTATTATACCATATAATTCTTAGCCATAATTATATATATACCGTTGACAGTGAGAGTCACGTTTGTTCTGACGGGGCCGGCGGAGTTGTTCGCCGTACACGTGTACACGCCCTGGTCGGCAGTCTTGAGTTTTTCGATGTAGAAAATTGCGTCACTCGGCATCAGCTGCATGCGGCGCTCCCTTGCCGCGGGAAAATCGTCTCCTCCATCTTTCTGCCACGAGATCACCGGTTTGGGCTGGCCAATGGCAGCACACTCTAGCACGACGCTGTCTCCCGCCACCGCCGTCATGCGTGCGGGCGGTTTCTTCGTGAACGTCGGGAAGACGTGCACAGACACCCGACTTCGATTTGAATACGACGACCCGAAACGGTTTCGAGCTATACATTGATATTTGCCCTCGTCGCCATCGACTACTGAGAAAAGCTGCAGTCGTGACGTGAACACTGTCCTATTTGTTGCTGGATCAGTATTGGCAAACGTCTCGAGTGAGCGACCGCTCGCTGACGCTGGCGGAGACGAAATCTCCGAGGTAGAAGAAGTACCAGTATATAGCAAAGAAGCATCTGACGAGCGTAAGATTCGGTTCTCTTTACGCCAGTCGAACAAGATCAGCTCGGCGCCAACTGTTGTATTCATTGTAGCTTTACAGGATAATGTTACATTCCGCCCTTTTAGAGCTAGCAGAGGACTCTGTGGTGACTCGAGAATCTCCGGTTTCGAAAATACACCACAGGACCAGTTGTAGCTTGGCCCGAACGACAAGACGTCGCGACCTTTCAGCTCGAGCGGGAAAGCGCAGCGGGCTACGATATGGCGTTCAACACCGACGCTTCGCAACCATTCCGGAAGCCAACTAAGGCCGCAGTCGCAAAGAAGCGCGGTCGTGTTAAGTCGCAGTTCGGAGATTCTTTTAAGCACCCGGAATGCCTCCTGATTGATGGCCGACAGTGGGTTGAGATCGAGATTGAGCGAACGGACCTTAGACAGGCCAGCGAATGCCCTTGAAGGAAGTGCCTGTATTGAGTTGTTCGCTAACCCGAGGCGCGTGAGCTTGGACAAGCCTATAAAGGGCGCGTTCGTATCCTCGACGGCCCACTGCAACTCATTGTTGTTGAGCTCAAGTGTTTGGAGGCTACTTAGGGTCTTGAATGATGAATCTTCAATGAAGCCAATACGGTTAGAGCTTAACTGAATGGTCTGGATAGATGCCAAGTGTAGAAAAGATCCCTTTTGGATTGCCTCGATCCGATTGTTCTCCAAGTTGACCTCCTGAAGTTTTTTGCACGACTCGAAGGCATCCGGTACGACCTGTACGATTGAATTATTTTGTACGAATAGCTGACGTAGCGAATGAAGGCCGTAAAGCCACGCCTTAGATACGACAGGAATGTTATTGAATTCAAGGTGCAGTTGCTGAATGTTGCTCAGCCCATAGAAGGCACCGTCCGAGAGCACCGATATCCGATTCTTTCGAAGGTTCAGCACTTCGAGATGTTCAAGCGATTGAAAAGTTAAGCCTTCGATCATCTGAAGCTGATTGCGGCTAAGGTCTCTGCAATACCAAAAACGAATAGATTAAAATCGTTACCGATAGTATCCTTCATACATTATATGTAATGTATACTTATAATATTGTAATACCGATTCGGAGAGACATCCTCCGTTAAACGACACTTAGGACACGTTTTTTTTTTACTTATTACACGATGCACCAAATCAGCACCCACTTCTATAAAATGCTGATAATAGATAGGGATTTGAGATACTTCTAAGAACGAATTCGAACGGTACCTTCGTAAGTCATATCATCTAGATCAATGCCTGATAAGCGTGTTCCGCAAGACGGCACATATAGCTATTGAATGGAAAAAGTTATCTGGAACAGGCAGTATGACAGTATTTTGTCGTGGAAATTCATTTCGAATCCATTCGGTAAACAGGTAGACCAAAACACGGCACCAGCATCCAAATGATGGCGACTATATACTTACATTTTCTTGAGCTGAATGGTTTTTCTGAAGAGGTCCTTTGGTAGCTTGGTCAGCCTGTTCCTACTGAGGTTTAACGAGCGCAGTGAAGTCAGGTTGTCTAAGCTGTTCCGCTCGATCAATGTGATACGATTGTTTTGTAAGTTAAGTAATTGCAAGCGACTAAGACGTCCGAACCATCGAGGCTCAATAGCTCCAAGACGGTTTAAGCTGAGATCGAGCGCAAGCAAAGAGTGCGGTAGAGGGTGCTCTACAAGGGTGACGGAATCGCCAGAAGGTTGATCTGACTCATTACTTGCAAAACCAGAGCGCAGAGAAGCTAGCGAGATTTCGTTCGCATTAAGAATAAGCTCTTCAAGCTCGCGGAGACGCGACAAACCTTCGGGAATTTCCGTTAGGGAATTGTTTGACATACGACTGTAAAACGAAATAGAGAGATAACACGAAAACTTAGCATCGCTTACTACCACGCTAATTATTACTAGTCGAATTGGTGCAGTGGCTGTTTTTGGAGCTGTTATTAAGCTGATCCTATGGTTCCTTCAGCGCCTAAGGCATCGATCAGTTAATGTAAATAGTAAAAGTTTCTTTGAACAAAAGTGAACGAAAGTTACGCACAATGGATTTTATATTGCTGCACTTACAGGACTTTTAGGTGGGGCGTGTGCGTCCATGCTTCAGGGTGAACTTCAGAGATTTGATTATAGCTAATATTTCTGGAAAAGCAGAAAAAAGAGACGCAAAGTAGATACACGTTCGTTAGATGGTGCAATATACAGTTGCTATTCATGTCTAGGGCCATAATGCGCTTGCGTCTTTCCGTAAGGTCCAAGCTGAAGTGTACCAAGTTGAGATTGCTTCACAGTTATGTGAGATTAGCCAAAACATATATTTAGTAATGTAAAAAGAGGCTCCTTTTTCTTAAATCAACTACCATGAATTCGCTTTATTTGTGCTGTAAACAAGCTAAACGCTACGCTGAGTTTGGCAATATATATAAGTTCCGCGCTATTAGATTGACTCAACCTATTCTTATTTTCGTGTTAGCTTATTTTTAGGGCTATGTGCCGCGTACTTCCACAAAACGTCTGCAAAAAATATCAACGGACTTGTACAAGTTGGAAAAGATCACTTGAGCCATTTTGTACAGAAAGCGCCATCTTTAAATACGCTTGCTTTGTTTTTAGCCAACTTCTCTGGATTAGTGAAATTACGATTTTTCCCCGAAATTGTAAATAAAAAAAATAAGTATAGCCCGAAGCCGAAAAATGAATCTCGACTCTTTTGTACCGAAGCATTGTATTTGAACTAACGCTGTTTGTCTTTGTTTGCCGACCGTTAATCCTGTCCGCCTTGCCTAATGTAGGTCATTGGCAAAACGCTTAGAAGTAATTTGTAATGACATTAAAGCTGTTCAACAATTGATTTCATCGATCGATTTTCACGTGCTTCTCAACAGCTACAAAATAGAAATTATTTTATTAGTTTCTTGTCGTTATGAATGATGGTTTCCTAATGGTCTCAAATGAAATGGCGGTCGTCTATCGAGGCGAACGGTCAGGTCTTTGGGACTACACGCAGTCTGCTAGTCCCTTCCCGTCCACTCCTTGTTCCCATACAGTTTCGGATCCCTTGATCACAATACGGCTTAACTTAGCTCGTGACAATAGATAGCAGCGGCGGCAGTTAAGGCGGACGACAAAATCCTATTATTAGTAAATTGTCCAATCTGTAACACCTAGCAAAGCAGTCATTCCCTTTGCACGTACATTTTAATTGAAGCAAAAGCTCGCACTTTTTTTCCATGCATGCGGGTGTCTTTTTGTATCTGTACACAAGAACCCAATCCAGCCGTTGCATGGGTCATTTGGTTCTCTTCATATAGCCCAGACGCATGCAATAATACCTGACCGTGTACAGGATCAAGTTTTATCAACAGAGCTAGAAACAGACAAGGTAAATCCATAACCTCCCCCAAAGCAAACGTAGCATTTGATTATAGATGAGATAGCAGGATCAGTCTATTCGAAAGATCTGCTTCAAACCGGGATGCGGCGATACAGATGAAGTCGAACGGAGTCCCGAGTCAAAAGGCATGCGTAACATGTGTATTTGTTTGATGGCTACTTGCTGTAGAGAACAGAGAGACAATAGTTAGACAAGCGGTAGCCGGCCAAGATGGCTTCGTTGACCGATGCTTCCTTCTTAACTCGAATTGAGCATTAATCGCAACCAACATTTCCGCTTCAGCTGTTAACAACGAAAACACGACTTAGCTAGATGAGACTAGGTCCTATAATTTTCGTGTCCGATTGCTTACCTCTTCAAACGGCCGTTCTAACGGTTATGGATTCATTATTACTATTAATCTATCTACTGGTTCGTTTCCGAATCGAGTTAGCCATCAGCTAACCAAAACTCTCCTCGGTAGAAATTACTGTATGTGTAAGGGTACCCATGGCAGTTCAAACGGATACAGTCTCTTTCAATGGATCATTAGACGAGAGAACCGTTGCCTATCCGTTAGGACAATGATTTTTCATAATTATTGTTGTTGCATCTGATATTGGTGCTTAGTTAGTTATACGGTTGGTCATTGGTCTTAAGCTAGGGTGTCAACTACTACACATGTTGAACTATTTTTGTCCTACTTCGTGAATATACTGGCAGTATAACTGATTTCAATAGATATGAGTTAAGCCAGCAACAAGTGAATACTCGAGGCAAATTTTACCCAAGCCACTTATAAATAGCATAATCGTAATACATCGACGTTGCTCAATACGATTGCTCTATTTAGCAATTCCCGGCAAATTTCTTCATATGTCCGAGCCATTCATTGGTCTGATTGGTCAATAGAATGATCGAGTACAGGAGGCCTATATAAGGCGACTCCTATTCACTCGGCCTTCATAACACAGAGTCTCGCTCTTTCTTCGGCTAAGACGTTACTCTAGTGCCCGATGACGTCAGTTCCACAAACGGAGCCACATCGAGGACAGATCCGTGTTGTCTTTGTTACTCCTGCGTCTGCACTGGGCGACAGCTATGCTGCGCCGCTGCCATCTTGTCGTACTAATAACCCATTACGCGAATACGCTCTACGGGTCGCTCTCCGAGTAAATCAATCGTCAGCCAGGCGCGGCACGTTCGGATTAGCAAAATATAGCAGTATTGGAGGATCTAGGCGATCCGGCTGGATGCTAAGCAGCCGACTTCAGCGTTGAAAATTCAGTCTGACACTGGTGTGGTACCACGTCGCCGCAGTACCCAACTTCATCCTATCCACGTCCCACAATCTATTAAATAGACTCTTTCGAGTTATAGAGGGAGTGAAGCACAGAGCACAACGAGCAAGACACGCCCTATCATCGAAACATGCAGCACTGGCAACAAGATATCTCTGTTGTATTCGTAAGGTTGCGATAGTTGGCGCATGTGGAAAATCAATCATCTTCTAAAAGCTTGGTAAACCAGTATACCCGACATACGGCAAATATGTAAGAACATGAGCGTACCCTCGGCGATGAATAGAGAAACACCGCGTTTGCTCGCACCCGAAGATGTGGTGAGTCCATAGAACTATTTGATTGTCGGTATTTTATAAAAATTGATCTCAGCTACACATACTATACAATTTCATGTATGTATAACTAAGATCAGTGTAATAAACGCGTATAAATTGAAGTTTTCACACGACCCACAGCTGTCAGCTTTTACCTAACACAAAGATGTAATTCGTCTTAGGTATAGTCCATGTATCTTTTCTTCAGATCAAAATAAACAAGATACTTCTCCTGAATATCGATTAGTGGTCTGATGTGGTTATCGATTTATCATCTGTCATAGCCTAAAACATTATACTCTCCGACTGATATCATTGGTCTACAGGGAGATTGCATGTATGCGTCCAGATTCGTCACTGAATGTCCTACAACAGATGTAGGATCCATGCTTCTTTGTCCGTCCATCCAGAGACCCAAAAATTGTTGGATGGCGTGCGCAAGAGTTTCTTCTAAAAACTAGCCCCAACTGTAACGCCCTAACGAATACGCTAAACTAGTCTAAGCAAATGGGCGCCATACTAAAACATGATTATCCGACCATCTGAATAAAGGAGCTGTAGATTCAAATCGATTCATAGGAAGTGGCTTTGTTTTTGTGTGGTTTGAAAGACTGAGATTTATTATATGTATGATTTATGAACCTCTGAATCAATATAACACAATACATGAAACTTCGACATATTCAACATATTGAACTTGGCCTAAGCAACACGACTCGGAAAACCTGACAGATAATATGCCACTGAAGAACTGGAAACTCATTTCGACGACGGTGTTCTCATAGACATTTTGCAAACGGTTCAAAAACGAATGTTTGAGCATTGAGTTTGTTAGCCTAACCATCAGGTCGTAGAATAGTAGGTTAGAGGTACATTTCTGTACCTGCCGATTTGTTAGATTCCAGCTAACTAAAACGGCCGCCGTGGCGTAATTAGATGTGTCGTAGACAGTGTGATCGTGGTGCAACAGATCCTACAATTAGCGTCAGCATCAATTAGCTGTTAAACTGCTCCGTAAGCAATAGGGGCAGAACCTGGGTTTTATGAATTTTCGTCCCAGCTTCGCTCGTCTATTACAGTAGAAATCCATCATCTAATGACCCGGCTTCAATAGTCCAATGTTAACCGAGTGATTATGGCAAGAGTGACGTTAACTCTCTCTACTGTACCGCATCGTTTAAAACTGAAGATAGTTAAAAGGATATTTGCATTGCTAATGCACACTAATATATTCCTTTCAACTTAATAAAGTATCGTCTCTATAATATCCGCGGCTCTTTCTCTCGCTTTAATATATATAGTTATACTAAGAAATAAACTAATTGTAACTCGAAAGGATCAGCCAGTAAATAAGAAAGCACTGACGAGAGAGCACGCTCGGTTAGTCTAAGCTTCTTTTATAGGGGGGGCTAAAATTTTGCTAAAAATTTTTCTCCTATATTAGTCCAGTGGATGTTAGATGGCGTTCATTCGAATCTAGATTTGTCCTTTTGTTCACCTTCGCACTACATAGACCCTTCCATATGATATATATGTATATATATATGCATATATGACTTTAACAACTTAATGAATAGATCGAAATTTAACAATACTGAAAATCTTGGAGAATGTTACTGAAAATGCTGCAGCCCAACGCATTCGGTAGGACGTACTACGGGCCAATTTACTAATAACAAGTAGGCTTGACATAGACTGCACAGCCTATCGTGTTCATAGAAATAGCAGGCTTCAACGCTGTAAACATAGCTTAGACTTCACTTTCGCTTATAATAGGAGTCTTCGCAGGGACAAAAAATTCACCGCCCTGTCAGAACAGATTCTGCTTCCAATAGATTATGTAGCTAGCTGCGTCTCAATGCCATTGCTATCGATGCAACCATATTGTCACGTTGCTGCCACATGCATCTTTCGCGTAACATAACTATAGTCGTCGCACTGTATCCACACTACGAAGTTTAAGCACACCATAAATTACTCAACTCGAAGCTCAGCAGCACACAGGCTCTAAATACCTGACTGGCATAAATACATCATGCGACATTTAAATACACACCAAACACTTTTGCTGGCAATATTACTGACGCAAACGGTTCCTGTCACGATCCTTACTCGACGATGTCGACACCACCGCTAATCCAAACACACAGA